AAAAAAAAAAAAAAAAAAAAAAAAAAAAAAAAAAAAAGACCAAGACAGGAGAATCATTCCTTCAAGGCCAGCCTGGACTACATGTTGAAACTTTGTCTCAAAAAAAAATTAATGATACAGGAGGATTTTGAGACATTGAATAAAATCAGAAATGAAACATCTGTATTGGTCGCAATAATGAATAAATGGACGTCTGGAAGAGGGGTGTGCAATTTAAAGTTTCCAAGGGCCTATCTACAAAATGCTTATCAAGTGCAAAGTAGAGGGGGCTGGGGATTTAACTCAGCGGCCCAGCGCCTGCCTGGCAAGCGCAAGGTCGTGAGTTTGATTCCTGGTACCGGAGGAAAACAAAAAAAAAGTGCAAAGTAGAGAAAACGGTAACTTGACTGGAGAAGCCCGGCAGACACCTTCAATCAAGAGACAGAGGGCAAGGGGAGAGCAGGCACCACCAGACAGGGCGCGCTGGAAGGGCCAGCGCCATCTCTGTTTTATCCCCGCCAAGCCGCACAGCCTGCGTTCAACCGTGAAATGACGTCAGACAAACCAAAACTGAGAGATCCTACAAAATCTTCCCGTGTCCAGGTCAGGAAAGTCACTGCAGGCTGAGGAACTGTTCTAAGTTGAAGGCAACCAAAGAGACACGAGAACTAGCGCAGTACTTGATGCTCATCGGGACGAGAGACACCACTGTCGGGCATGAAGTGACTCTCGAGTGTGTGGAAGCAATGAAGCCGTGTAAGTTCCCTGTGCGACAGGTGGGCTGTTACAGGACCGTGTGCTAAAGCAGAGCTTTTCAGACTCCAGCCTGCTTACAAATCACTGGGGGAAGTGTCTGAACATGCGCATGCGCATGCAGTGTGTCGGGAAGGGCCTGAGATTCCGCCTACCTCCCTGCCCCGGCACTGCTTGGCTGCAGGCCCAGGGACCGCGCTTGAAGTAGTGAGGGTCAGAGAGCCCTGCAGAGAACGCGTGCTCCTTCCCTCCCACACACTCACCCGCCCACTTCTTCTGGTCCCAGACTCTTGTTTTCCTTTGGGAACATGACCCATCATGCTCTAGGTGCCCATTTTGGGTCACTCGGGCCTGAAGCAGGTGACCCCATCCTCTGGCCACTGTGCAAGGTTCAAGGCTGGTCCTGAGACCCAGCCAGGGCCACTGAGATGAAACTGTGAGGCCCGGCTCAGCCAGCACAGGCTCTGTGAACCTCTTCTGGACTGCAAGACTTACAGTGGCTCAGGATTTGCCCCCTGCCCCCTGACTCCTATAGGCCTCAAACACTTCTGAACCCTATGTGACTCTGTCGCCCAGTAGCTATGTGAAACTGGCAAACCGAATTTGTCTGTGCCTCAGTGTCCTCACCTGGAAAATGGGACACCACTTACCTCCAAGGGTTGTACTGAGAATAAGTGGTGGAATTAGTTTACCTGGCACAGAGTAGATGCTCAATAAATTTTTAATTGTTCACGATGGTTTTTGGAGCCCATACAGAAAGAAGAGACAGCATTTCACTCCTATGTTTTAGGCTAGCAGAGTGGATAAACAGAGTACAGGGGATAGGAGAGGTGAAGCTAAACATTTTGCTCATTATCATTTTCTCTGGGTTCTAGCAATTCATGCAGAGCCAGGCTGCTCAGTTCATATCTGATTTGCTCCCATTCTACACTGAGTTGCCCGTCTAAAGACACACCCAAAGGAAATAAATCAGCAACGTTGTAGGTCGCACCAAGTGTGGGTTTTCTCCCTGGCAATCACAAGCTCTGGCCAGAGAGCGGAAATCCTTTTCAACTGTCTTTATTCTACTGCCATCCTGTGGCTGACCTGTGCCACTGCAGCACCAGGGGCAGGATGTAGCAGAGCATCTATGCCTTCACTGTCCCAGGGAGGCGCTCCCTGGGAGGGAGGGAGTGCAGTCCAAGGGTCTGCTCAGAGGCCCCAGCAGCGAGCGGGTGAGTCTGGGCGCGAGTCACCAGTCCTGACTTGACTTCTGCTTGATGAACCTTAAGGACACGTAATACAGGAACAGGAAACCACTGCTGATGCCGATGAGGATGAGGTAGATGGCGTAGAGAGGGTGGGAGTTCAGGTCCATCTCACTGACCATCTGGAGACACCAACGTTCAATGAGCTCATCGAGCTATCCGGTTATTGGCCCGATAATTCACAATCCGAGGCCCTCACTACTTACTTTATCTCCTGGGATCGAGAGCGTGATGTTTCCCACCTGCACAGTATAAAGGTGCCCGTTGTACTGGACCTGCATCAGCCCAGCGAAACACCACCGGAGGAAGGACACGTTGGCGACCCACGCAGGCACTGGGGACAGAGAGAGCGCGTCAGCCCCAGGCGCCGGCGCCTGCGCGAGCGGCCACCCGCCCTCTGCATCGCGCTCCCGGCGCGGCCTCTGAGGGGCCAGGAGGCGGGAGAGGGTGAAGGGCCAAAGCCACAGCAGGGAGCCGGGGACGCGGATGAGAGCCGAGGAGGCGGAGGAGCTGCAGGGCGACCCGCAGGTGGGACCCATAGCAGCTCCAGAGGGTCATTTAACTTGTGTGTCCACGTCCCCGCGCAGCAGCCCTCCCCAGAGGACAGAGTCTGGGCTCTGCCTTGTGCAGGGGCAGCACGGCTCAGAGGGGAGGAGGAAGCCCCAGCACCACCGGGCTCTGCCAGGAGGGAGGACGGGCAAGGTGGGGGATGGCCTTTAGCAGAGAAGAGTGGGAGAGCCGCAGAGGTGGAGGCTGGGCCGAGTGTACTGGGGGTGTCACGAGGCCGGGGGACTGGCGGGGCCCATTCTGTGCCCATGACTTCTGAGAAGGTCCAAGGTCACAGAGGCCCGGCTGTTGTGCTGCCCCGGAGCACGGTCAGGGATGGAGCCAGGGACACAGCCTAGAAGACGCAGGAGGTAGGAACGACCTGGCTCTCTGGTGCTGCGGGGGTGGGCATTGGGGTGGCTTCCGGGCGCTGCTGGTCTCCTCTAGTGGGAACGCTGCTCTCGCAGGCCCTGAGCGGGGCAGGGTGGAAGCGGCCTTACCCACCGCACGAGCCCGGAGAGGCTGGGCCGGCAGGGGGCGCAGGCCTCACCTGCCCATAGGTTCTTCAGGTTGATCATGAAGCCCCCGGTGAGGTAGAAGGCGTTGTATAGGGCATTGCAGAAGAAGGACGACATGTGGAAGGTGGGCAGCATGGCGGCGGCGGCCAGGGCCATGGCCCTGCAGCAGAAGACCACCAGCCACACCAGCAGGAAGTGCAGCAGGAAGGGCAGGAGGCCCGGGTGCAGGTTGGCCAGCCAGTAGGTGGGCATCCCGTAGATGATGACGTAGGCACAGTGCTCCGGCAGCTCGCCGAGGATCTGCGAAGGACACGGGGCCAACGCCGTTGGCCATGCCACTATTTTAAAATGTGTAACACTGGCACTTACCCCCACCCCGTGATGCCAGCCTTCCCTCCTGGTACTGAGGCTGCTGAGGGGGTGCACTGGGCGCAGGCCGAGCTCACCCCCGACGCACCCCCGCAGGGCAGTTCGGAGCCATTCCCCGCAGACAGGCAGCCACGATCTGCTCTCCTGAGCTCTGGTTTCAAGTCTTCACCCGCTGCCCCCGCCCAGACCTACTACCTGTGTCCTTGGGAGAGCTGTATGACCTCTCTGAGCGCTTGCTAACAACGGCCTGACCAACCTGCTCCAGGCATCCGGAGAGGTGAAGTATGCTAAGGCTTCCCCAACGCTTTCTTTTTAGGTTCCTGCTGACCAGAAAAGTATCATTCCTGATCCACATTCCTAGCCTTCTGGCGAACGTTTAAAAACATGCAAGTTTCAAAACCCCGTGAGAGAAGGTGGCCTCTGCCGTCCCAGGGAATGCAGAGCCCTGGGGTCAGCAAAACTCTGCTGTGACGCCTGTAAAATGCGTGTGGCTCTCTCTGCCCTGCACTCGCCGCCTCCCTAAGCAGTCACCTTGGCAAAGTAATAGGGACCAGCGGTGTAGAGCCCGTCTTCCAGCTCAGCGTACAGCATCGCCCGCTCCGAGTGACCTGGGGCCGGGGTGGGTGGAAGAGGGAGGAGTTATCTACCTGTTTCTGATTTTGCATCTCCCTTAGTATCATTAAAAGCAGTTACACTACCTGAATTTCTTACTATTTTTTTTTTTTAAACAGGTGCCATAAAGCAAGCCTGGCCCAGAAGTTCAGGGAGGCTCCTTAGGCGCTGCAGATCCATGCCCTGCACATAGCCATCAGCCACAGACCCCGGCAGGATGGGAAGGGCTAAGACTTTCGTTTGTATGTTATGTTCATCCGCAAACTTTATCTCCGGTGCCGGGAACCGAACTCACGACCTTGCGCTTGCCAGGCAGGCGCTTTTGCCGCTGAGCTAAATCCCCAGCCCATCCGCAAACTTTAAAAGCAATTGCTGTCCTTCATTACACAATCACAATGGAACTGCTCTGCAAAGCTGATGTCTCCAGATGCTCAGCAGCTGGTTTTGGTCCAGCTCAGAGCACGGCTGACACCCCTAGTCTGCTGGCCCGAGAGTGGATGACACTTACACTTGGAAACGACATCCAGGATCACGTTGAAAGGGATGAGTGCGCCAGTCATGAACAAGAGGGCCGCTGTGTCCATGAAGGACAGCTTGGTGTCCCCGTGGCCGTAGTAGAGGAACCCGATGATCAGGGACATCAAGCAGGCCTCCGCCCCGTGAATGAGGAGGGTTGGCAGGTCTCGGAAATCACTGGAAATCTGACGACTTAAAAAAAGCATAAAAAAGAAAGAAACGTCAAGGGAACAACATACCCCAGCCTCGGGACCTTGAGAATGTCCTGCAATCTCTGGAAGGATCATTTCTGTCATAGAGAAAGACATGGAGATAGTAAGACCACTCACAGAGCTTCCGAGAGGGTTAAATGAGAGGACTGACAGAAGCATCTGTCCCCCAGTGGGTACTAAACACAGGATTATTTCTTTTATCATCAAGAAACAGCCTGGTGATTTTACTTAGAGAAATTATGCTGCAGGGAAAAAAAAATCAATCGGTCCATAAAGATGCATGGACACGTTTACTGTAACGTTACTCGTGCCAGTAACAGTCTGAAGATAACCTAACCATACCCAGGGACCAGACAGGTCATCAGGTCGGGCACCCTGAAGGCTGAGAGGCTCTAACCGGGTGATAGGCAGAGGTGCTGTCCTCAGGAAGAAAAGGCTGCTCTGGAACATGACACAGTTGGATTCCACCCGCGCGTTCAAATGTTTTTGTACCTGGAAACGCGGCGGAAGACACAGCCCGTGGGCCCGGCTTTCCCCGAGAGCTGCTGTGACGGGCAGCCTTCCGTTTCTGGCTTAGGCTCTTGTGTACTATCTGAATTTTTTCACGGTGACCTCATGGTCGTTCCAGTAAGGTTATTTTAATTTTTTTTTTTCAGAGAATCAAAGTAATAATGCATCCCACGAGGGACAGACGTGGTCCTGAAGATGCTGCCTTTCAAGCAATTCTACCTCTTGCTTCCTCCCCCAGGTGCACTTCAGGTAGAAAGGGCTTCGGGGGTGAGGACACAGTGAAAGACCATTACCGGGTCAGGGTGGCGAACTGCTGCATCACCCCGGGCGGCTCCGAGGGTGTCTGGCAGTTGTTGTCACAGGGCGGGGTCGGGCTGTGAGAGACAGAACGTGGAGGGTCAGGCCAGCCCTCCGGGCAAGGAGCTCTGCCCCTCGAACCACATGCCCCTTGTACCTGGCCACACAGGTGCCCACGCCCAGCTCCTTCGCCTCCGCTTTCCACAGGAAATCATCAGAGTCACACACTTTTTCTCGAAACAAGGCTGCAAGGGACTGAGCCTTCGCCCTGGAGGCCGCTTCCTGCTCTTGGCTGCGCCTGTCGATGCTGGTCAAGTCCACTGTAAGCGGAAGACGCGAGGCCGTGGGTGGCCCAGGTCCTGGCGCTGTCAGCCCTGGGGCTCCCTGACGTGCCCCCCGCTCTCTGAGAAGGAGCCACGAAGCAACGGCCAGAATGGAGAGCGACAGAGACCTGCAGGGCTGGCCCCAGCACTGGGGCGGAACCCCGTCCCAGCACCCATTATGGAGACAGCCCAGGAGGAGGAGGGGACTTCAAGGCCCAGGCCCCAACACCGCTGTCTAGGAGGCTTCTGACGAGGGCTCAGCCCACGCAGGAGAAGGAAGTGGGCTGGGGGATGGCGGGCCAGGAGGAAGGCGGGCAAGTGGGGGTCCCGCACACACTTCCTTCTCACCGCGGGTTAATCATCTGGCTTCCCACGCACCCAGCCCAAGGCAGGACCGGGTTTGCTGAAGGAAGGCAAGGACCAGCCAAGTACACAGAGAGTTCTGGCTGCCCTTGGTCAGCCGCTGGGCCCCAGGAAGGGAGTCAGGCCACAGAGCTGGGAGCCAGGCCCGTGGGAGGGCCACCTCCTGCACCCCAGGAAACGACCCCTTGCACCAGGGAGCCCCTCACTGCAGCCCTCCTCCCACAGCGCTTGGCCTTCAGCCTCCAAGGCCCCAGCAATGCCAGCAGGGTAAACTCCAGCACTCACGGCAGGGCCTTCCTCTGCCTGGCTGGTGCCAGGCCACGCGGCCTCATGCCTCCTTCCATTCTTTCCTCGCAGCCTCAGCACGGCTGGGTTCTCCCTCACCTCGCTCCCCCTGCCCCGCTCCACTTTCACTCCCTGTCTCCAGCCAGGAGGGGTCTCAGAAGCCATAACACGCTCTTTCGGGACACAAAACACCAGACTTGCTGGGCGCCTCAGGCCCTGTGGGCTTTTGTGCCCCAGACTGGTGAGGGACACCCGCCCCAGGACTTGTAGGCCAGGAGCCCTTTCCCCATCCCCCCCATGACACTTTGCTATGGGCGTCTGACTCCTCCAGGTGCGCTTCAAATTGTCCCCAGTGGCCACATCAGCAGGTGCCTTCTGCTCCCTTATCTGAGGATGACGGGGCAAGAGGCCAGGCAGGCCCCTGCGCCCGGGAAAGAGGTGCACCGAGTTCACTGGGGTGCCGGTGCACAGGGCAAGGGGTGAGGCCGGGAGAGCGCCCCTGCCGGGGAGGGTCGGCTGCCGGTAAAGCCAGGCGGACAGCACGGGCAGCGGGTTAGGGTTAGGGTCAGGGTCAGGGTCAGGGTTGTTAGGAGTAAAGGCCCCGGCCAGACCTCACCACACAAGGCGAGTCCAGCTCTGTGCCCTACAGCTGTGTCACCACAGGCGAGGCGTTGAGTTCCTCTAGGTGTGAGGGTCAAATAGAACCCCCAGGGCCTTGGCAAATGCCTTCGAGAAAATGGTCCCCGAAGTCAAGCTTATTGCTGAGCTCCTGGGAAGACCCTGGGGCCCAGCGGACCTGGAGGAGCAGCCCCTGCTGTTGTTTCCCCAGCCCCGGCACCACCGCGCCGTGTGTACCGCAGCCAGGGTACCTTTCAGGAAGGAAGGAAGGAAGGGAGACAGGGAGGGAGGAGGGACGAAGAAAGAAAGGAAAGGAGGAAGGGAGGAAGGAAGAGGCTCATGCGTGCTCCCTGGGTGTAAAATCCTGCGTCTCAGGACCCAGGAGAAAGGCAAGTCTGGGCCAGCAGAGCAATTCCCACATCTAGAGCGCCACTGGCCGAGGCCCCGGCGCCGCACCCACTTGCACCACGGCCTCCCTGCCTGTGCAGGGCCCCGGGGCTCTGTCCTCAGACTCCTGGATTCTGCGCTTGCTGAGCTCCCACCTTGCTCTTCACGGGTCCTTTTCACAGCTGCTTTTTCTCAGGTCCTTCCCAGCTCTGGATCCCTGGCCAGCTCTGTCCTCCACCCACTCCGCCCACTCCGCCCACCGGCACCTCTCCTCCAGCTCCTTCCCCTGAGGCCCGCCCCTTTCTGTCCCAAATCTTTCCAGCAGCCTGGGGTGGGGAGCGGTCCGGCACCAGCCTTGCTGTCTCACCATAGAAGTCCGCAGGGTTGCTGTAGCGGGGACAGGGGTGGCCGATGGTCGTGAAATACTGGACCATGTGCTGCGCGGCCCCCAGGTAGATGGGGGTGCCCGAGGTCATGAGGAGGACCAGGTCAAAGAGCCTGAAGATGTCGGAGCGCGGCTGGTGCAGGGAGATGAGCACCAGCCTGTTGCCCTTGGCCAGCCGGGACAAGGTCTTCACTAGGTTGTGGGCCGTGAAGCTGTCCAGGCCCGAGGTGGGCTCATCCAGGATGAGAATTCCTGGCCACGGAGAAGAAGGGGGTGACCCGGCTGCACCCGGGACGCCGCCCCTCCCGCTCCCCCAGGTCGCAGGCGCTCACCCGGGTTCCACAGCAGCTGCACCCCGATGCTGACGCGCCGGCGCTCGCCCCCCGACACCCCGCGCACGTATGCGTTGCCCACGCGCGTGTCCGCGCACTGCCGGAGCCGCAGCTCGGCGATCACGTCCTCCACCTACGGCGGGAGGGGTGTCAGGGGCTCGGGCAGCCTGCACACCCTACACCCCCAGCTCCGAGACCTGCTCTTCTGCCTGGGTCTCCACCAGGAGGAAGGCGCCCCAGAGCCCTGTCCCCAGCTCTCCAGGGGTTCACTGTGCCTGAACAGGCCCTAATTGGGGACCAGACAGTTGGGCTCCCTGCCCACATGGCGGACCAGAAAATGGACTCACAAATAAACAAGTAAAGCCCGTGACAGATGCTGTATCGCGAACCGGGAACCGGCTGAGGCTGAGATGGCTTTGTGTGCCTCGGTGCGGGGGACAGGGGACCGAACCCAGGGCTTTCACACTGACCTACCTCCTGTATCTTTTCTTATTTGGAGACAGAGTCTTACTATTTTACTAACTTGCCCAGGCTGGGCTCAAACGTGCAATCCCCCTGTCTCAGCCTCCCAGAGTGCTGAACTGAAAAGTGTGCACCCCCAGGCACAGTTAGCCTGGGAGTGGGGTGAGTGTAGAGCTGACTCTTTTCGGCAGGTGGATGATGAGCTGGGATGGTTGGACTCCACCTGGACAGCTGGATGCTGGGGCCTGAGGCACAGGGGGAAGGGTGTGGTGACTTCTTAGACCCCACGGCTCGGCACTGGGCTCAGTTACCCTTTTGTCGCGCTGGGCCTGGGAGAAGGTTCTGGGGAGGCGCATCTGGGCGACGAAGGCCAGGGTCTCTCGGACGGTGAGGTGAGGGAGCAGCTGGTCGTGCTGGCGCACGTGGGCCACGCACTTCCTCACCAGCCGGGGTGTGCTGGGCTGCCCGTTGATCCAGATTTGGCCTGACCTCATCCTGCCTCCGTGGTCTCGGCCGGTGATCACATCCAACAGCGAGGCCCTCCCACAGCCTGCAAAGTGACCAGAGACCCCGCTGAGGGCAGTGCGGCAGGGGCCCGTGGGCAGCTGCTGTCACCCACATACCCTCCAGCACCCTGGCCTGCTCGATCCTTGCGGAAGTGACCGAGCCCCAGGAAAGGTAGCACTGCTCCTTGTCTGAGGCCGACTTGTGCCTCCCTGGGGGAGGCGGTGGGACACGCTGGTCCTGGGGCTCAGACCAGGTAGGCCACCAGCTGAGCGACAGGAAAATCATGACTGCCACAGGCCTGCCGGAACTTGGAGCCTCTGTCCCCTCCCACTGCGATGGATGCTTCTCCTAGGAGAGGCTGGGCTTAATTGCATGTGAAGTATAACTTTTCCTTCCCGGAAAACACGCCAGCGATGTATCATCCTTCACTGTCAGCTGGCTTACAAGCTTGCTCGGTGGGAAAGACTAAGTGGGAACATTCACAGGGTGTCTTTTAAAAATGCGAAACCAGGAACCTATTGTGAGAAATAAAGGAGAAAGTAATAGGGACGAAAGGTGTTGCAGCAGATGTGGAAATGATTTCAAAGCACAGTGTATGAATAGGTTCTGGCGGTAGCTCTGCCCTTCTCTTTTATTATTATCAGCGGCACTTTTTATACTCTTAAAAAAGAAAAGACCCCCTGCACTCGCGTTAACACCGTCTACTTTTGAATGATACCCCTGACTACTGATTTGGGGAATTCAGCATCGGGGTGGATCTGGTTTGCAAAAGCACCCAACAGGCTCGGCCTTTAGCACCCATTTGAACCATGAATGCAAATTGGCCTCAGACTTAGAAACTCTTTCCTTCGGTGGAGCCAGACATGAGCTCCATCCAGTTGCGCAGGCCCAGTTTAGGTTTCCTTATTGTATATCCCTTTTGGAGAGAAAACTCTCCAAGTTGTTTTCAAACAAGTGCCCATACAAATGCGTGGCCATGTCTACCCAGTGCCATCCTCCTGCTTACCACTTATAGGTGCAGAGTGGAAGGGGCTGCCCACTGCCTCCTGGGTGCACCTCACTTAGGATCCTTGAGAATTTAGGTGGAGCAAATAGTCAGGAGAGGAAACAGAGAGACAAACCCAGGCCTGCTCCCTCTTCAGCCTGGGACATTGGCTTCAGGGTCTAGGAGAGAGGGGATTGCACCAGCGTTCACAGGGACCTTGAGATTCCCAGTCAGAGAGCAGGAAGACCTTATTTTCTAAGCAAAACTTTGTGAGAGGCGTGGGCAGCCTTTTCAGTGGAGGGTGCCTGGTGCTTTTGGAGAGATCTCCCCATGACTCAAGTTAAAACACCTATGGACACACAAGACCTTGGTAGAATGGCCAAGTGCAATCTCCCTACCCACAAATTCGTTAACTTCCATGCACTTCCAGCATGGCAGATTCTATCAAGGACACTAAATGACTGGGGCTGATTTTCTTTTTAAAATTATGGCCATCAATGTGTGTGTGTGGGGGTGGGGTGGGGGTGTGTGTGGGTGTGTAGTAAAAGTCATAGGAAGTATAGTGTTTAAATTTTCCTAAAGACTTTAATAATTTCAGCCAAGTAAGCTTGAAACCACATAACACTGAACCTAGGTCAAAAGATCCGGATATTACTCAGTGTAATTCCTGCTCGGCTTCTTGGACTTCAGTTTCCTTAATCACATATCAAAGATATTCACAGCTAGGGTCACATGTACCAACTCTTCACCAGGATGAGTTTCAGTAAGAGTCCATGTGACTCCTGATGCTCAATCAGTTCAGGAAGAAAAGCCACGAGAAGTTACAAATCAAAATAATCCTACTTTAGGTCAGAATCCCAGCAACAGAGCCAGAGTGGGAGGGGCTTAATGATTGTGCATATTATTTCGGTTACAAAGTGCGTTTACAGATAGTAATTCATTTGCTCTTTGGTTAGACAATAAACAGAACGTCTCTATCGGAAGAGCATAAAACTTTGGAGTCGATGTTAAATACATTGAGTAATCTTTACCTCTGGAAATGATTAATTAAAAGGTATAAAGTGCTATAACACTGCATAAGGTGTCCTACGAGGAAGCAGTTCTCAGAATCAGGAGAACAAACTCAAGTTTTAGCTAGGCATTGAATGTGTGTCACTAGGAGAATAACTCAACTTGGTGTTTTCATCTGTCAAGTGAAGAGGAATGTGTGTGTGTATGTGTGTGTGTGTGTGTGTGTGTGTGTGTGTGTGTGGTATATGCAAAGGCACACTCTAGAAGTGTTGAAGGCTAGATAATTTGAAAATCTCCCTCTAAAAGTGCTTCCCAGCTCTAACATTCTAGAATTTTTTATTTTGCCTGGGCACGTGTCTGTCTAAAGCAATCTAAACATCTGGCTCTTTGCGGGTGGCTGAAGGTTGTGCTCTGCCTTTGGAGGGGCAGTGCGGCGGCGGGGCTCTGCCTAGTCACTGTCTGACCATGACCCTAGTCTGACTGTAGGGGAAATGACCTGAGCGAGTGCCCTTGTGGTTGGAGGAGTTCCAGCAGAGAACATGGTGTTCTGAAGCTGCCTGATGGTCCTGTGGATCCGGGTGTTAAAGACAGACATTGCCGCTGCAGCTCGCGGTGGGCAGGAGGCCGCTCACGATTTGTACTAGCACCCACCATCTAGACCTGTAAAGGAAAGAGCTGGACTTTGAGCTCAGGTCTGTCCCCCCTGGGTCACTCTGCTATATTGGTCTACTGATCAGCTAAGAGTTCTGCAAGAAGCATCCATTTCTCCAAAGGACCATCCTGTATCCCAGAAGAGAAAGGCCATTGCCCTGCCTCCAGTGGTACCTGAGCTCCCGATGATGGCCAGCATCTGCCCGCTTCGCACTCGGAAGCTCAGGTTCTGGATGCCCTGCTCGCCAGAATCTTGGTTCTTGTGGGACAGCCAAGGGATCCTGAACTGAGCCAGCAGCTCAAACCAGGGCACCTGTGAGGCTGTGTCCACCTGTGGGGAGAGAGACATCAGCGGGCTCCTGGAGCACAGCCAGCAGCTCTGCTCAGCCCCCCGTGCTCGCCCTCCACAGGGGACATCCCCAAGGCCCTCCCCACCCAGGTTCTGCCAGACATGGACTGCTGGGTATGGCGGCTGTAATCACGCCTGTAATCCCAGCACACTGGGAGGCTGAAGCAGGAGGACTGCAAATTCAAGCCCAGCCTGGGCAACCTTGTGACTTAGTGAGACCCTGCATCAAAATTTACAAACATATAAAAACAGCTGGGGATGCAGCTCAGGGCAAAAGGGCCTGGCTTCAATCTCTAATGAAGCAAAACAAAAACAGGGGAAAAAACCCCATGGAGATGGAACTCTACCACCCTGAAAACCTGATGCTGCTGCTCTTCCTAAGTCTGGAGACAAAGGAACTAGAAATAGGTGCAATCGCAGAAGGGGGAAAAAAAAAAAGAAAAAGAAGCAAAATGTCTTCGCTTAATGATAGTAATTTACTAATCACTTTCAGATGTTTACTGCGTGCAAGACATTATGCTAATCACTTTATGTCTATTACATCATTCAGTCTTCATTGCAAATCTATAGCGCAGGTAGGATTATAACCTGTGTTTTACAGATGAAGCTCGGAGCAGTTCAGTAACTTGCTCAAGTCACACAGCGAAGTGGCAGGGAGAGAAAGGTTATACTGCAGCTAGTTAACGGTCCTAACCCATGCCCACAGGAAGCCAGGTTCGGGCCTCCGAAGTTCCCCCTCACAGGCCCCACAAGGTCCCTTCTGTAGAGCGTACGTTGTCCAAAAGTAGGGAAATAGTGGTCCTTGAATCTGACCAGGGTATCCCCAAGGACCTCTCAAAGGCTGCTGGTTGTCCTTGCATGTCCTCTGGGAATAGTACATTTTATCAAAGGAGAAAAAATAAATCTATAGATCGAGATATATAAATGGGTAAAATCTGAATATATGAAGTCTGTGGCTGAGTTAGTGGCAATGACAGCGTCCGTTTCTCAGTTTTGGTCATTACACTATGGAGCACAAGGTGTCCCCGTGCAGGGAAGTTGGGCGCGGGCCGCGTGGCAATACGGTACCACTTTTGTAACTTTTTCAGAAGTCTGGGGTGATCTCCAAATCTAGAGTTGTAAGAGTGTCAGAGACTCTCCCCATGGGTTGGCTTTATGTTTCTGCAAGGGATCCTGGTCCCTTTCCTGGCCTTTCCTCGGCTGCTCCACATCTGGGTGATTCAGAGGGGAGTTGCCGGGCCTGCAGCCAGCGGACAGGGCCTGGGGGGCCTCACTAATGTCCATGCTGGAAGCCGAGGGCTGCAGGCTGAGCCTGCCCTTCCCACCCACCTTTCCCTGCTGCGGCCCCTGTCCCCAGCCCACGCAAGTGCACCCCTACCTGGTAGGTGAGGTCTCGGACCTCCAAGGTATTGGACTGGCCACTGTAGGTGAAGTACAAGCTGTTGTCATTTTCAGAGGAGAACAAGCTGTCCTGGAGGCCCTGCGGGGAGATGTGAGAGTTGAGGGGCTCCCGAGGACACAGGAGAAGACAGGAGGAGGGCGAAGAGGCCGGAGCAGGGGCTGGCAGTGCCGGCAGGAGATAGGTTTGCACAGGGGGAGTCCAGGACTTGGAGAACGCCGGAGCTTCCGGGTGGGCACCGCTTTCTCTGTTCACAGAGCTTGGGCTTCCCCCAGAGCAGCCCCTGCCTGGACAAGCTCAGCCTCAGGCCAGGGAACCGGGATCCAAAGAGCTTAGGATGAATGACGTGCAGACTCCAGGCTGCAGGGAGCAGGCTAGAGAGGCCACAGCTTTCTCCTCCAGGCAACTGGCTTACTACCTCCTAACGTCAGCAGACTCTGCATGGGGGAAGGCAAGAGCATGTTAATAATGCTCACTATCTATGACGACCTCATCCCAAGAAAAAGGTATCTTTTTACTGTTTTTTTTTTTGTTGTTGTTATTCTGTGGGTTAAACCCAGGGCCTTGGTGCCGAGCTATATCCCCAGTCCTTTTCTTCTTTTAAATTTATTTTGAGACAGGATCTCACTAAGTCACTGTTTTACACAAACTGGACTCAAACTTGTGATCCTCCTGCCTCAGCCTCCTTGAGTGCTGGGATTCTAGGCAGGCACCACCACACCTGGCTGTGTCTTATTTTGATGAGAAGTTTTGTGCAAGAAACCCAGTGAGAACGCTGCAGCGGAACTTCAAAAGGGGTCCTATTATCATCACCCCACGTATGTACACTGCAGTGAAGTTGTTGCTGATGTTGGCTGGTGGTGCACTTGTGTTTTCTTGAATATTTAACTGACATATAGTTATACCTATTTATGGGTACAGTGTGATAACTGGATAATGTATAAAATGTGTAATGAGCAAATAAGGCCAATTAACATTTCTGTTCCTAAACATTCATCATTTCTCTGTGTAGCCTGGTGCCTAGACAAAGAACTCCTTTCTTCCTGCTCTTTATAAAATATACAACAAATTGTTGTGAACCACGGTCATTGCAGTGGGTTGTAGAACATTAGAATTTACTCCTCCAGGCTTGTTTTGGTGCCTGTTACCTGATCTCTGTCCATTCCTGCCATGTAGCCTGGGATGGGCTTGAACTCACGATCCTCCTACCTCAGCCTGCTGAGTGCTAGGATTACAGGTATGTGCCACTGCACCCAGCTACAAGATTTCCAGTTCTTAAGGCACTCCGTTTTTCTTCTGCTTCTGAAGTGCAGGTCCAGGGATAATAGATTCACTAACAGGCTTCCATGACCCCCCAAGTCCCCCGCCTGTAAAACGGTCATTCCATCATACAGTTGAGTTCATTTCTTCCATCAAGCTGACAACAAACACCTCGTGTTCTCACCACGCTTCAGGCTTGGAGTTTGAGGCGTGGCAGTGAAAGAGACCATCTCTGTGAAGCTTAGATTTGAGTGGGTGAGTCAGGATTTAGGACAGAGCAAGACAAGCCAGGGCTAGAGGCAGACTGACCTCCAGCATCCGGTCAGGGGTAACTTCCCTGTGCAGGCATGCACGTGTGCACGCGTGCATGCACATGTACACACACGTGCACACAAAGCCTCAGGTGACAAAGCAAACAACGGTCTCTGTCAAAGTATCCCTGCAGAGGTGGAGGTAAGAGGCCCCTTAGATAGGACTTTGCTGGCTGTCTTCCCAGAGTTCAGAGAGAGGATAGCAAAACCACAGATGGTTTGAGGTTTGAACTACTGTCAACATTATCCAATGAAAACATGGGAAAGACAGGCCCGAACTCAGGCAAGGGGCTCTCTCTGGGGAGCAGGGGGAGACCTGGGAGTGATACAGCGAGTGGGCTTCAAAGATGTTGCGAATGGGAGGGCGGTTCTCTGTGTCAATGGGTTTGTTTGAAATATTTCACAATATGTTTTCAAACTGAGACAGCATGACTAGAACTCCAGCTTCTGCTCCCACCGTGACCCCTGGGTGGGGGTCAATACTCAAAGCAGGAGGGAGAGGTGAGGCCCAAGGAGGCGAGAGGGTCTGTGTCCTCTGCGAGGGGGACAGAGCTCCTGGGGAGGTGGAGGGCAGCCCTGGTTGGAGTCCTCGTCTTCGCTTCCACCTCCGCCACACTCGCGTGGTTTCTCTAGGTCTTTGTGTTAAGCTCTCAGAAACCTGTCAACTGTTAGGGGACTCATTTGGGCTAAGGCGAGTTCTGTCATTTTCTGTTGTTTTTAAAGCCAATATCTACAGGAGGGATGCTGGTTAATGGGCATCAGGGTGGAATTAGCTCGGCCCGAAGCTGCCAGGTCGGGTTCGGGGAGAAGGAGCTGCTAAAGAAGGAAAGGCAGACGCGGAATCTGGAGCAAGGTGTGGGAGCGACCTCAAGTCCGGGTTGCCTCAGGCCCACTGTGCTGTGCAGAGCAGGGACAGGGCATTGGGGGTCCAGTGGGGAGAGAGGTGGCAGCAAGGAGGACGGGCAACAATATGAGAGGGGTGCAGATCCCGTCCTGTGGCCTGTCCCAGGCCCCTTCCGGGGACCCCAGCCGCCACACAAGGAACCACACCAGCAGCCCAGCTTTAGAAGAGGAAAATTTGTGTCTGGGTTGGGTATGACTCCTGTTCCATCTTAAAATATTTTCCTTGGCTCCCAGGAAGGATTTGTTAGACTCTTCCTGAGGTTTTGACAAACTCTCTATATTTTTCAAATACTTAAATATCTATTCGGCTGACATCTTAATCAGTATGACTGTCAGAACATCATTTGAATTTCTGACAGGTGACACCCAAAAAAGCAAAAGCAGGTTTATTTGTAGGTAACCAGCTCAGCTCCTGCTGGGCTACATTGTCATTTCTCCATGTATTCACTTCTGATCAGATTCCTGAGTCAGAGGTATAGACAGAAACGCAGGGAGCTCAGAGCTCAGGCCTTTGTTCTGGGGTGAGAACCCTGGCTCTGGACAGGGGGTGATGTGGAAGGCCTGTGGCTGATGGGGACGTGCAGGGCTTGTTCCTGGCAGAGAGGACTCTCCTGGACCCTGGGACATTCAGACCAGAGCTCAGACCACTCTGGCCTGACTCCAAGCCTCTCTTGTCCTCCTGTAGCCCTGTTCCTGCCCATAATGTGAGCAGTTTGCAGGTCACAGGCGCCTACAACTCCAGGTACCTGACACCAGAATCCCCTATGCTATCTACCTCAACCCCACTCATGGGGCGTCTGCTCCCGGGCCGGAGCGCTAACATCATCTCCCGCCTGGGCACCCCTAGGTCAGAAGCACATTTGTTTGCGGAGGGCATGGGTGAAATGTGAGCAGACCACAAGGACTGTATGAATTCCTTGTAGAGTGGGATGGAGCTGGGCGTGGGGTAGTGGAGGGGACAGGCTGTGGTGTGGGCTAGAGGCTGACTCTGTCCTGTTGCCTCCTTCTAGCTGCCACTCCAAGGAGCCCTGGGTTCTTAAAGTTTATACTTGGGCCTCCAGGTGGTGAGGAAGGCATGTTGCGTGTCAAGTCAAGAGTGTACAAACTGCACTAGCAACAGTTCTTAGCTGGATGGAGAACATCTAGACGAAGGCTATGTGGCCCTCATCCTTCTGTTCCAAATACTGCAAATGCGGGGGACACCCCTGGGGGTTGGCTCTCAGGGAACCCAAGGGGCAGAGCCTGGCCTTCTTGGGCCTGACTGGGTCTCATCCGGGAGACTCAAGGCCGTCCAGGTGCCTGTGCCTCCTGCTGCTCTGTGGAGTTTGTACTGCTGATTTTCTCCCGTACTTTTCCTCACAACAGGCAAAGATGAAGGAAAGCTGGGGTGGGGCAAAGCGCAGGTGGGGCCCTGCTTTCCTCCTGGCTTCCAGGGTGGCCTCCTGCCTCAAACTCCACCCACTCTCCCCATCAAAGGCAATTTGTCAAGTAAACACTTGTCTGGTAAAATGAGGGAGGGAACTTTGTACCACCACCTCCGCCTGTTCCTCCGCCTCTGCCTGTTCTTCCACCTCCGCCTGTTCTCCGTCTCTGCCTGTGCCTCCCAGGTCTCTCCGGATCCTACCGTTGCCTGCATATTTTGAGCATAAAATCTGATGTTCCCACAAGAGTCATCCAGTTGCATCCATCACTTTGCTGCCGCCAAGATTCTTGGCCTGACAGCCACACAGTCACGGGAGACACCAGAAGAGCCGCTGGTGTGTGTGAGCATGCTTCTGTGACAGAGTCAACCTTGGAGGAAGCTAAATCAGCCCAGGTCACAAATAAGAACATGACTTCCCTATAGGAGTGGGGCTCAGAGGCCGCGCAGCCCTAAATCTGAGCCCCTCTGCCCCCTGACTCCCAGGAAATGCAGTCCCTCTGCTTGTGGTCCAGGGGGTGGATTAGGACAGAAACCCGTGAGGGAGGAAAGGAAGATCCAGTTCCTCCCCACCTGCCGGATCAAGGTGGCCCGTCACTCACCAAGGCGTCCTGGACAGCAGGCCCCCTCCAGAGCTCCTTCTCTGTGGCCTTCCCCGCCATGGGGCCCACCAGCTCTGCGCCCTTTGCCGCAGCTCCCGAGGCCCTTGGAGCTGCTTTCTCTCTCGGTTTCTTAGAGCTGGGTCCCCTCGTCCCTTCTTGCCGGTGCCAGGCTCTCTCCCAGCATTCCTCTCTGGCAAGCCCTCCTACAAACACACTGTGTGCTCTCTACACTGGTAAGATAAGGATGCTCCGGCTAAAGGTACATCTGATAATGGCATCCGTGGCCAAGTCCGGGCCAGGCAGGCAGCAGGTGGGGCACTCTGTCCCGGGCAACTCAGCGGAAGCCACTCCAGAGAGGGCCAGGCCACCAGAAAACTTACTGGCCCGTGCTGCCTGTTGGTCATGAGTGAGCTCCACTTTCTGACCGGAGACGGGGCCTTGGACCCCCAAGGAAAGGGCAGTCACCAGAGCTCCCTGGAGGAAGGTCTGATGGGAGCTTCCAGGCCGCAGCACAGCTTAAGTGTCCTGCACGTCTCCTACAGCGTCAGGTAAGGCGGCCTGTGGGGCTGTCACCTTCCTCACTGCCGGGGGTGTTCCTGGGGGTTGGGGCTGCTTCCTTAGCAGGTCAGGGTGCAGAGAGAAGAGAAGGGCTGCCCCGGCCTCTTACCCTCCCGCGGAGGCGCACACCCGCTCCCCACCGTCTGCAGCCTGCCGCATGTGACTAGAGGACTCGGGGAGCGGGCTGGAAGCACGAGGCAGAATAAACCCTGGTGAAGGAATGCAGGTCAACCTAGAATAAACAGTGTCCTGTTTGCCCCTGCACAGCCAGGCAGAGACCTGACATTGACAGCAGCTGCTGGCACTTTCCGTGGGTGGTGCCAGCCTGTGGTCACCGCCAGCCAGAGTCTACGCAGCAGGACACTGAGGCTGAAATACAGTTGGGATCCTGTCCAGAGACAACTGGGCGGGGCAGAGCCAGGGTCAGTGCTGGGGGACAGGGTCTTCCCCCCATGCTGCCTTTGTCCTCCTGTGGTTTCCTCTACAGCTGTCATGTGGGGCCCTGGTGGGACGCTGCCTCTCGCCGGCAGCGGTGGGACAGGCAGATCCTCAAAGACATTTCCTTGTACGTGGAGAGTGGGCAGATCATGTGCATCTTAGGGAGCTCAGGTAAGCTGGGGAGGGGCGATGCAGTTCCCAGGAAATGCGCTGTAAAGGCTGTGGCTTGATTTATGCACCATGTTGAAGAAATAAGTTTAAGCTTAAGGTCGTAAGTTTGATATTAGAATGAAATCGAACGACATATCTGCTGGTGAATAGAAAGAACTCGGTACAATACGAAACTCTGAGAGCGATCCTTGAAAGAGTATAGAATCCTACCTAACACGGAGGTGAGTTCTTTTTTCCTTCCTCTCTCCTTCCTCCCTCCCTTCCTCCCTGCTCCTCCTCTTATCTTCCTGGCGGTGCTGGGCATCAAACCCAGGGCCTCATGCATGCTAGGCACACGGGGTGCCCAGCAAAGCTGATTTCCCCTCTTGGTACCTTGCCTAGAGACAGAAAAAGGAATAAAGAAAGAACCAAAATGCCCATTTAGTTCCAATATTTGATTCCACTGGTCCTTTTTCATTAAATGTACTTCAGAGTTGCAGGCAAGAATAGACACTAATATAAACAGTGTTCATGCATTAATATCGGGTCTTATCAAATCTTAACATTTTGCCATACTTTCTTCGGAGCTTTCTCCTCGCTAAGGAATTAAATAATCCAGGTTGCACTGAGCTGTGTGTGTACCTGCTCCCCATGTCTCCTCCTCTTCTCAAGGTGCCCACTTTGGAGCCTGAGTTGCGCGTTTGTCTGTGTCCATGCATCACCCAGCTCTTGTCGCAAGAAGGAGTGACCTTTGGACAGGCAGCTCCTTGTAGCTGAAGGCAATTTTCTGAGAGGGTCACAGATAAGGATCCTGAGAGCTGACCCTGCTGGCAGTTGCGGGATGGGTACCTTGGCCCTGTAGCGGGGATCTGTGTGTGACACCATGAGGCCAGGTTGTCTCGCCTTTCTTAAGGTTGGGAACTCTGAAAAATGGCTTCATGGAAGCCTCTTAATGGCACAGGTTTTGCAAATTGTTGGCGTTTCCCACCGCTCTTCATTTGCTTGACTTGCTTTACCAGAGACGGGGAACGTGAGCCTGGGGTGAGGGTCGGGAAGGCACGGGCGAGGAGTGCGTGGGAGTGTGTCCCCAAAGGCTCGTGACAGGGGAGCTCGGTCCCCAGCACAGAGGTTTTAAGAAGCGCTGGAACCTCGGAAGGGAACGACGCCGCTCTCTCAGGACCCCACTTCCTCCTTACCAGGGAAGATTATTGTGAAAAGAACAAGCCCGTCTCCGAATCCCTCTGGCTTCCTCTCTCCGCACTCAGTCTTTCCCTTCTACATGCCATCCTGCCATGATGCCACGTGCATGTGTGATGTAGCCGGAAGCCGTCACCACAGCCGAGCAGATGGGCCTGCCTGATCTTGAACTTCAAGCCTCCAGAACTGTGAGCTAAATGAAGTGTTCTTCATACAAAGTACCCAACGTAGGCGTTTTTGGTATGGGGACGGAAGACGGACTAGGACAGTCCAACCGCTTTACAGCCAGTGCTTCAGTCTGTGACCTCTCTGCTACAGCAGGTGCACAACTGGATGGCGACGGTAGGCTCCGAAGACCAGATGAAAAGGAGCTCGCTGACTGTTGTACCCTCCTTGGGCTACAGTAATGAAACATGGTACAGTACAGTGCTTTACAAGCAACAGAAGTTTATTTCTCACAGTCCTAGTGGCTGGGAAGTCCAAGATCAAGGGACTGACAGATTTCGTGTGATATGAGCTGTTCCTCATAAGCAGCTATCTTTTCAACCTCACCTCATGATAAAAGGGATGAAGGTCTCTCTCAAGCTTCTTTTTTTTGTTTGAGACAGGGTTTCACTATGCAGCTCAGGCTGGCCTTGAGCTCACTTTGTAGCCCAGGCTGGTCTCAAACTCGCAACGATCCTCCTGCCTCAGCCTCCTGAGTGCTGGGATTACAGGCATGTGCTACCATGCCTGGCTCTTCAAACTTCTTTTATAAAGCTACTAATCCCAGTTAGGGAAGCTGTACTTCCAGAACCTAATCATCTTCCAACCCCACCTCCTAATACACCCCACCATCAGTTTATGGGTAAAGACCTCAACACCTGAATTTTAAGAAAAAATATACATTCAGACCATATCACTAACTAAAACTATCACACATTTCTAAGATTTCCTGCCAATTCTTATTCCTTTTATTTTTATTTGTCGATTTACTTTATCTCTTTTTGCAGTACTGGATTGAACCCAGGGTCTGCATGCTGAACCACATCTACAGTTTTTTCCTTGTTTTTGAGCTAGGGTCTGCTCAGAATTGTGATCCTCTTGCCTTACTCAGCCTCCCAAGTGCTGGGATGACAGACATGTGCCACCATGCCCAGCCTTATTTCCATTTTTAAAACAAGTTCTAAGTATACATGTATCATAATACTCAAGATCTTTCTAATTTTCCTTTTGATAAATATAGCATGCTCTTTTAAAAAGAAAAAAAGTTGAGTTTTCCCTATGATAATCTGTTGTATTCTCTATGTGGATTATGAAGGGTGACATGCACAACACCCTTCTCAGAAGTGTGTCCCCACCCAACGTCATGCTTCGTGCACACTTCATCAGGCAGTGGGTGGGGCGCTTGACCTGGGGGTGGCCCTGGTTTCTGGTGATACACCTGGTCACTGTTGTAGAGTGTCTGCCCATTGTACTAACTATGGAGCCACTGTACAATGCAAGTTCCACAGAGCGGGAACTTCGCCTTTTTCTTTTTCCTGCTGTGTCCTTAACCCTAGAACAGGGCAGCCTCTAAGTAGATGCTTAGTACTTGTTGAACAGATGCGTGAATAAATTAGATCTATGAGGTGTGACAGAAAAATATGGTGTGTTTAAATAAAAGAAAACTGAGCCGGGTGTGGTGGCGCACACCTGTAATCCCAGCACTCGGGAGGCAGAGGCAGGAGAATTGTTGGGAGTTTAAGACCAGCCTGGGCTACAAAGCGAGCTCCAGGCCAGCCTGAACTGCATAGTGAGACCCTCTCTCAAAAAGATAAATAAATAAATAAATAAATAAATAAATAAAGTAAAATTGATTACAGTAAAATATGCCTTGCCCTTAATCCACCTCAGAATGTTCTCTCTTGCTTCAGAGACATTTATGCTATCACTCTTGCCACTTTCTGAAGCAGTTCTGGAAGCTTTCTTTCATGTGTAAATGTTTATCTTTCATGGTCATTTTGACTGTGGGAAAGAGCCAGAGTCGCTTGGTGCCAGATCTGGTGAACAAGGCAGACGAGGACACCGTGTGATCTTTTCAAGCCTGCCTTTCCACTGGACGGCACTCAGCAGCGGCACTTACGATAGTCTTGATCACACGTCACACAGACACTCACAAAGGAGTACTTCCAGAATGGCTTCAGAAAGTGAAGAGTGATGAAATAGGTGCATTTGAAGCAAGGAGGAGTACTCTGAGAGGGGTTAAGGGCAATGTCTTTACGTCTAATTAACACTCCCAGTGTTTCCTTTTAGAGGAATCCTACCTGACTCCATTGCTGTGTAGCTCTGAGCAGCCCTTACCTATCAAATCTTTATTATGAGGAAACCATGACTTACTGTTCAAAGTCTCACCAAAGTGTGGCCTAAGGCAAGCCTGCTGCAGGTCATCTACCACACTAGGGGGATTTGTTTGACTCACTATTTGCTAGAGCCCAGACTCTGGGATGAATGCTTCCTTGCAGCTTTAGTTATAAATTATGTCTGCCCTACTGGAGAAATAATCCCTCCAAAGCAGTTTTATTGCCCTTTAGGAAATTCACCATTTGTGTGCTTAGCACTGCTATCTTATTATAACCTTTCTTTCTCCTCTGTACGTTTCTCGTATTTTTTTATTTTTAATTTTTTAAATTTTTTTTTTTTCCCACTACCGGGAATCGAACTCACGACCTTCAACTTGCCAGGCAGGCGCTGTGCCACTGAGCTAAATCCCCAGCCCCTCCTACCCTTGTTTAGATAAACTTTGTCACCATGGTTCCTCATTAATTACTTAATAAGTGTTTGACACCTGTTGACAAGACTGAATTAGTTATCTACGTTTATGCAAAATAAAGAGAATTCCCATAGTGGCTTAAAACAACCAAAAATGCCCTTTGGTGCCTCGCAAGGTTTCTGTCTGGTTTACCTCAGTCCTCCATAGGAATGTCCTTAGTGACAAATGTCGGGCTGTGCCCAGTGCTCCTGGTGCCGGCGGAGACCCCCTTGTTTTCAGGAAAGGACTCGGTAGAGGGTGCTTCTCAAACTCTATGCACATCGCGGTCAGCCAGGGATCTTGGTCAGCAAGGCAATGTCACCTACCTGCAGGTACAGGCGGACAACCCTAGGAGCAATCCAAGTGTCCCAGGAGCCACACGTTTCCAAGAGTCCTGGCTTTCCTTTTATTCTGATCCTACAGTTTCCTTTTCAACTCCGAAAGAGATAGAAAGGAAATAAATAGGAGGAGCCTCTGCAGACTTGACCTGCCTGAGAGAAACGGCCCGTCCCTCTGGGGACATGCTTCTCTGCGCCCTGAGAGTGTGACCCAGGGGCGGCGCTTCCCCTGTCCCCCAGGGCTCCTCCAGGGCCTCCTCTTGTCGCCCCCAGGCTCAGGGAAAACCACGCTGCTGGATGCCATATCGGGGAGGCTCCGGCGCACCGGCACCCTCCTGGGGGAGGTGTGCGTCAACGGCCGGGCGCTGCGCCAGGACCAGTTCCAGGACTGCTTCTCCTACGTCATGCAGGTGGGCGCGCGTCCCCCCGCCCCGCCGCCCCGCCCGCCGGCCCGCCGCTGACGCCCCCTCTCCCGCAGAGCGACACCTTCCTGAGCAGCCTCACGGTGCGCGAGACGCTGCGCTACACGGCGATGCTGACCACGCGCCACGGCTCCGCAGACCTCCTCGGGAAGAAGGTGGGGACCCCCGCGGCCCAACGCGCCAGCCCCTCTCCCCGCTTGGCCTTCACCCCGCTGGGCTCCACCTGCGCAGCTGGAGGGAGATCTGACCCCTGCAATCGGAGATGCGCTCTCCGCGTAAAATACACAGCTGGATTTCACACTCCATTTGGGAAAAACAAAACAAATCAAACCACCCTCCCCTTAGAAAAAAAAAACAGAATGTGTAATCTCATGCAGAATTTTCCAAAATGTTGATGGTAGGTTAAAATGATAATATTTTGGTGGTGTAAATATTATTACTATTATTAAATTAACCTCACCTTTAACTTTTAAAGTTTTTTAAAAATTTGGGTTACTGGCATAACCCCTCCCGCTAGCGGCTCGCCTGACCCGCCGGCCTGGGCTGTTCCCTGAGGTCTGCGTTGAACAGCCGTGTTATTTTTCCCACGGATTTTTCTCAGCTTCCTTGGTGGGGTCTTGAAAGGGCTCATCCAGAACAAATCAAGTTAATGCAGGCAGAGACTATGGAATGGTCAGCTCTTTCTAGGTTCCGATCTGTTTCTTAAGTGTAGCCGTTTTGGAAGTAGCCCCAGGCACACCTGCCAGAACCTTCCCTGGAAACATGGCCTCAGCTCTGTCTGGACTGTGAGGCCTGGGAACCATGCCAGGTCGAGTGCTACCTTCAAAGAGGCACAGCTCCCTGCCGAGGAGGCTTGTGGGTAAAGGGCATTCTCCTGTTGGAGCATCCCGGACCAGCCTGAGGACAGCCGTGGCGGGGGTCTGCCCTCGGCAGGGCCCTCAGTCTCGCAGAGCGATGCTGGCCTGGTTCCCCACTTCAGAGTGCTCGAGGTACGGCAGGGTCCTGCCGTTTCACCTGGTTCTGCTTTTCTCTCACCTGGCTGGCATTGGGCAGGGTTTGTCTCACACACAAATCTTACTTCTCATACCAACCTGTGAGGAAGACGTTGTCTCCATCTTGCAGAGCAAAGGACTGACACCCAGTCAGGGCCAGGCAACTGGGGGTGGCAGAGCTGAGACGGAACCCGGTTCCTAGCTGTATCCTGCTCCCTGAGCTCCTGTGTGGCTAAGGTGACACCAGGGTTCAGCTTACCAGGGCCCCTGAGTGCACAAGCGTGTTCCCATGGCTTAGCGCCCCAACCATGAGAGGCAGAGAAGGAGCCAGGCCACAGGCCCTCTGCAGCTCTCTCTGCTGGTTTAGCATTCCTCTTTCTAGAATAGGTAGGAGAAAACCCCGTTGGTATTCAGGTGGTCACGAAGTCATGAGCAGATTCTTTCACCCTATGGAGAGAATCTGAGAAACCCATGGGCATTGATCTTCAGCCAATTCCTGTGTACCATGAAATGGACTGATGGCAAATTTGCCCCCTCCGCTGGCACAGGCAGCCCCAAACGTTCTGCAAAGAGTGATAGCACGGAGTGTCCTTTCGGAGCAAATCCAGGCCACGGCAGCTAAAATCTTGATGAAGTAGCGTAGTGAGCAGGAGGTACTGATGAGAACGGCCGACAAGGCCTGGCAGACCTGCTCTGACCTTGGAGGAAGCTGGAAAGAAAGCCTGGCTGCCGGGAGTGGCCTGGTGTCTGCTGGTCCGCTGAGCCTGGTGCTCTGTGGACCCCCGAGCACTCAGGTAGCCCGGACGCTTGTGAAGGCTGGGACCTTGGACAAGTTGTGTCCGTCTCTGAGAATCTGTTTTCCCCTCTGTAATAAACAGAATACATCAGTGCTAGGGTTTATGTGAAGAATAAATCAGATTATGTAAATGCCAAGGCAGAGAGAGGATTGGGCTTGATGATTCTCAAAGTCTTTCCAAGACTCTGAATTGCACTTCGCATAGAGTCTGCACAAACACGGAAGAGGTTTCCTATCAGGCACAAAACATCCAGGACGGATTAATAACCGTCTCCTCTGTGCATCCTTCCAAGCCAAGGGGCAAATGTACAACTTTCCGGAAGCAGCAGATAGGAAAGGAGGTTTGGAAGTTTACCCCAGCGAGCACACAAACCCAGCTCTATCCACCAAAGCTCAGTTCTAGGATCTTTTAGTCCGATGACATGAAGAGACACTTCTTTTTTTCAGATCATCTCGAACTAGTTTATTTACACATCTTCCCTTTCTCAGTATTCTTCTTTATCTATTTCAGACATGTCCCTTCTTTTGACTAAAGCCTCCTGTGTGCTGGATCCTGCCCTCCCGTCTCCGGGAGTTTGTTCCACACATCACCCCTTTTTTCTCCAATCTAGTTTGTTGGGGCTGTTTTTCAAGACAATGCATTTGTTTCTTTTCTTTTTTTTCCTTATGAAAAGAACTCAACCTCATTAGAGGAGGGTGGGGACAAACATCACTGTATACATAGTCTTAGTTTCCATCCGCCTGCCTCCTCCAGAGCTGCCTGCGGGTGGGGCGATCACCAGGGGAAGACAAGAAGCAGTAGAAAGTTTCCATCAGATCTTCGGAGACAGGATGAGCTGAGACAGGAAAGAGAGGCGGGGAGGGCAAAGGCCAACTGCTAGACAGTGACGCACTGGCTTCCATCCTCATGCTTTGGCGAGTGGTAAATAAGGAGACAGGAGCTGCAGGTAAGCGTGGCGAGGAAGACTGGAGGAAAGGGAATTTTAAGATGGGCGGCTGTGGATGACAAATTGGGTCCCTTTAAAGTCCTGAAAGAAATCCATGGAAAGACTGGGTTACTTTTCGTGACTTCTGGAAGCTGCTCACATTTCCTTGATGCAAGGGGCTAGCTCAGCGGCACAGCGCCTGCCTGGCAAGCGCAAGGTCATGAGTTCAATTCCCGGTACCAGAAAAAAAATAAAATAAAAATTTCCTTGATGCAAACCACACTGAGATCTGGCCCACATGGGACCCTGGGACGCACCTAGGTGACGCAGGGAAGACCATGCTCAGTTCAAACCCATTTGGGTTTTTGAAACATATGAAATATTTATTGTCATAAATTTCAAGATGTCAACACTTATAAAAGTAAGCTGTATTATAACTACTCTTTGGGGTGCTTTTTTTGTATAGGTCAGATGAAGGTAACATTTAAAAATAGGTGCTCGTGAACTATCTGATGAATCTCCCTACAGCGAATATAAGCATTTTTATTGTTGTTGTTGCCCCAGGGACTTAAAACATATGTGCCTTTTCCTTATTTAAATCTGCTACATGTGTAATATTGTGACCCAAGCCAAACTGGATTTCACTGTAGTAGGCTGATTTCCCCAGGATGTGGAGAGGCTGGAAGTGGCTGGGCGCTCTGAGATGTTCTCTCGCTGGCCTTCTCCAGCTGGGGAGCTGATTGCGGCCGTCATACAGGCGGTCAGGGTCCTAGGCTTTGTGTCTCCCACAGGTGGAGGCTATCATGGCAGAGCTGAATCTGAGCCACGTGGCAGACCAAGTGATTGGCAACTATAAGGTTGGGGGCATTTCCAGTGGTGAGCGGCGCCGGGTCTCCATCGCAGTCCAGCTCCTCCAGGACCCCAGTAAGTGGGACCCAGACCTTCGGCCACCTGGGCACTTGCCAAGTGTCTGCGGATACTCGAGGCTCTCTCCTCCTAGTCTGCATGTGGAAAGGACTTTGTGCAGCACTGAAATCACTGAGCTTTCTGAATTGGAGACCCAGGAATTTTAGAAGTACTGTGTAGTTTATTTCCCAATGCTATTTCATCATCTTAAGTATAGATAGTCCCCAACTTAACAAGGGTCCCCACTTACAATTTTTCAACTTTAAAACGCTTTGAAAGAAGTACACACAGTATACACTGTACATTGATTTTTGAACTTTGATCTGTTTTGGGGATAGTGAAATGTAATACCATTAGCCCCCCTGCCCCCCCCCCACACACTGCACCAATACTGGGGATTGAACCCAGGGCCTTCATACTGAGCTATATCCCCAGCCTTTTTTATTTTTTATTTTGAGACAGAGTTTCACTAAGTCACTAAGTTGCCCAGGGTAGGCTTGAATTGAGGATCCTCCTGTCTCAGCCTCCCAGAGCTGACATGTCAGCAGGTGGCAGCTATCAGCTGGCCGTGGAACAACCAGCATTCTGTAGGGTGCTGTGTTGCTATGCTGTGATGTTCGGATGATGCGGGGGGCCTATGGTGGTCTCATAGTCAATCAATCTAGGTGCATTAACTGAATTTCCAACACGCTATTGTTACTTTACTATGAATTTCTCAAACGTAACACCTTAATAAGTCAAGGACCATCTGTACAACATATCTCTTAAATCAGAAACATCGCATTTGTGTTTTAGGGTTCTATTAGCATTTCCCACGAGCATAGGGCCTGTCCCACCCATGCTTCTTACTATAGCAGTACCACTGTATTTGCGGGGAAAGGCTGATGGGTTGTGTATGACCGCAAGTGTTCACGAGACAGCAGGAATCAGAGCAGGAATTGAAGGCTGACACAGCAAAGTACATGCAGAGTGGGCGGGGCGACCAGGACGGGGTAGCCAGTTCCCTTCTTCTCCTGCCTGGAGCAATCACTGCCCCCACCTGGCAGACCCACCCCTTCGATGAGCCTGGAAGAGGGGGTGCTGCACCAGGACCCTTTCTTTAACTTGTGGTGGATTAAGACTACCCAGTCTTCTGGTGATGCTTGGTCACTAGGAGGCAGATAGAAGAAATGCTCTTCAGAGCTCTTGAGTCATGGTGGTGGTGGAAATAGCTGCAATTCATCCATATAAAGAACCCAAATGCCTGCCCCACCTCAGACCTTGTTTTGTGGATCAGATCTCTTTGCTGTGTAAATATGCATTAGGGTTAGAAAGTGCTACAGGTAAGGGACAGAGTTATGCCTCTTTTCAGAACTTGGTGCCTGTCATGGCCACTGGATGGAACCCAAACAGCCCACGGTACCAAGCAGGAGGTCCAGCCTCCTTGCTCTCTGGCCCTACATTCGATGCAGAGCTAGGGGTCGGTCCCCCAGGCCAGGTCCTTTCCCCGGGGGTGGGCTGACAGCAGCTGCTTGGATCTACTCATCACGCACCGTGTGGAGGGGGTACAACAGCTCGATAAAGGAGGTCAAAATCTAGTTTTAAGCACAGAGCCGGGCTGGGCAGTGGCTCTGACATCCCCCCTTCTTTGCTGGCAGAGATCATGATGTTTGATGAACCAACCACAGGCCTGGACTCCATGACTGCGAATCAGATCGTCTACCTCCTGGCAGAGTTGGCTCGCAGGGACCGCATCGTGATCCTCACCGTCCACCAGCCCCGCTCGGAACTCTTCCAGGTAGGGGGCGTGGGCCTTGTTGGGCTCAACCCAAAGGCGGGAAGCGGTGCTAAGCTGGGAATGAGGCAGAGGACTAAAGTGCCTCATCAAAGCACTGGAGTCACCAGTCCTGGTTCGGGAAGAGAAAGGATGGAAACCAGTTTCTTTTTAGCATCACATTCCAAATACGTTTGAAACACTAGCTCATTTAAGTCTCACGATAATCCTCTGAGGCTGGCATCAGTATATCTCCTTGACAGAGGAAAAGAGCAAGGCACAGAGAGGACTCAAAATGTAGTCAGTATGACAGAGACAAAAGGTGGATTGCCATTCATGGTTGGGTTGGCTTCAAAGGCTGCGTTTTTCCAGCAAAACATACAGATTCCTTCTGAAAACTCTTATGTGACCCTCCCAGGATCCTGTTAGTTAGCTCCTCTCCACTTTTTATAGATGAGAATATGAGATTTCAAATATAAACAACAAACAAACAGAACACCCCTGGCTGCTCAAGGTCACTCTATGTAATGGCTGGAACTTAAACCTGGCCCTGTCACTCTTCTCTACCTCAGAGGTGACGCTGGGGCTCAAGGGGGGACAGCATGATCATCAGAGGTGCCCCAGCTGGTACGTATAGAGACACACTCTGACCGTCTGCAGTGGGCCTGCTGAGAACGCTGAGGGGTGGCGGAGGTAATGAAAGGACTGACGCACTGCTTGGAAGTGACCTGACCACGCACTGTCTGTTCTCTGATCAGCACTTTGACAAAATCGCTATCCTGACTTGTGGAGAGTTGGTTTTCTGTGGAACCCCGGTGGAGATGCTCGATTTCTTCAGCAGCTGTGGTTACCCTTGTCCTGAACATTCCAACCCTTTTGACTTCTATAGTAAGTTTTGCTTTCACATTCCCCCTCGTGAATGTTTTTTAAATTTTCTCATCTCATATTTCTGCCCAGATGGTACCCGCCTTAGCGGGTTTTGGTTTTGCTTTTGCTTTGATGATTTTGTGTGTCAAGGAGTTAATTTGGTGGGTCAATTAACCTGCCACTGATGACTTATCAGAATGAGATGGGGATCTCTTTCAAGCAAATTGGTATACTCCTACTTTGTTAGAGAAAAAAATTTTTTGGGGGCGGGGACAGCATCTCGCTATGCAGTTCAGGCTGGCCTTGAGCTCACTTTGTAGCCCAGGCTAGCCTCGAACTCACAACGATCCTCCTGCCTCAGCCTCCCAAGTGCTGGGATTACAGGCGTGCGCCACTACACCAGCCTTGTTAGGGAAAAATTAACTGAGCTTCTGAATTCTCTGATAGTCCCAGTGGGATTCTCATGGCCTTCCTGGACAGCTTTAAAATACTCTGATTTTATAGGTGGGCATTAACAGCAGGTTTTATTCTGATGAGATGTACTATTGTGGTTAATATTCCTGAATCAACAATAAAACACTATTCTCCATTGTGTATATATGTGCACTGAAAAACACATGGATCATATATATATATATATATTTTTTTTTTTGGAAAAAATCTAGTGGACCTGACATCAGTGGATCCTCAAAGCAAAGAACGAGAAATAGAAACGTATAAGCGAGTCCAGATGCTTGAATCTTCCTACAAAGAGTCAGCAATCTGTCGTAGAATTTTGGAGAACATTGAAAGAACAAAACGCCTGAAAGCCTTACCCACGGTTCCTTTCAAAACCAAAGACATTCCCGGAACTCTCTGCAAACTGGGTGTCCTTTTGAGGTGAGAGCCTTAGGGAGGAAAAGCAGGCCCCACGTCAGCATTTCAGCTCTGTAGACAGTCACAACGGGGCTGGGGGTTTAGCTCAGTGGCAAAAGCGCCTGCCTGGCAAGCGCAAGGTCGTGAGTTCGGTTCCCGGTACCGGAGAAAAACAAAACAAAACAAAAAAATAGACAGTCACAACAACGAGGGCAAAGGAGTTAGAACGGGCTTGGTTGGTTTTCTTTCAGGAGAGTGACGAGAAACTTACTGAGAAATAAGCCGGCGCTGACTATGCGTCTGCTCCAGAATCTGATCATGGGCTTGTTCGTCACCTTCTTCCTCCTGCGGGTCCAGAACGACATGCTCAAGGGCGCAGTCCAGGACCGCGTGGGTCTCCTGTACCAGTTTGTGGGCGCTACCCCGTACACAGGCATGCTCAATGCGGTGACTCTGTGTAAGTGGTGCGTGCAGGGGCGCACGTCTTTCTGCCTCCGTAGCCCCTGCCTCAGCCATCGCCCTGCAGAAGTCCACCACAGCAGGGTCTGGGGCGACAGAGAGCTGGGGGAGAGTTTTTCAAAATATCTTTCCTGGCCTTCAGGATGCCCACAGCCCATGGGGCCCCGTTACCTGGCCGAGTTTGCAACATCGCTTTCTTGGTGGAGCTTATTTTGGAATAACCAGCATCTTATATTCAAACTCGGTGGGAATCCAGAAGCAACACCCGGACACCTGATGTTATAACTTATTCAGGAAGATAGATACTAGAGGGGCTTCCGAAACGAAGCACACGGTTCAGGGAATGAGAGGGGAGGGCGATGCTCTTTGCAAGGTGGTCCTAGAGATGGACATGAGGGCGACAGTGAGCCCTGTGTTTACCAGGCCTTTCGGGCCAACATCCTGCACAAAAAGGGGGCGAAGCGCCGTGCTCGTCACGCCCTTTCCCTCCGGGGTGGATGACGCCCCCTCCCCGAAGTTAGGGAGAAGGAAGTAAATCGCATCTTTTGCACCCATCCTGGAATTCAGGCACAGTGTAGATGGGGGCGCTTTATTGTCTCAGGGATGGCAGGTCCCCTCCTCTGTGAGCAGGCTCCGCGCCCATCCGGGGCTCCCCTTCAGCACGGGCTGGGCCTCCCTCCCTCTGCTGTGTGGTGGTGACTGTTCTGGAACTTGCCTCCATGACAGTTCCAGTGCTGCGCGCCGTCAGTGACCAGGAGAGCCTGGACGGCCTGTACGAGAAGTGGCAGATGCTGCTGGCCTACGTGCTGCACATCCTCCCCTTCAGCATCGCTGCCACGGTGCTCTTCAGCAGTGTCAGCTACTGGTAAGCGGGGTTCGGGCCCTTGCATTCACCCGGGTCGGGCCTGCACGGAGTGAGAGGGCCTGCAGGCGGGGGGACAGAGCTCCAGGGGGGCCGGCTCCGTGTTCTCTGCTCTGAAGGATCTGCATTTTGCCCATCTATGCTCCGTGCAATGTCCTGTCTCTCCATACACTGATGTTAGAATAAGCGCAATAACCCAGCTGTGGGCGGTACGGAACCAGAGAACAAACCAGACAGACTGCATGTGCCAGGGAAAAGCACACCCCGCATTCTCTACAGGGAGGGCCAGAAAAGAGGGCTCCAAAGTGGCTGGGACTGAGGTGCCCAGGGACCCTGGTGCAGAGGAGGTGGGCACTGGTCGCCCACAATGACGTGTGGCCTCCCCAGGCTGCTGTGAGCTGGAGGGGAGCAGGGCCCTGCCTGGGGTGCCACTGATGCACCCCGACACTGCAGGGACCCCACGGTCTGGGCAGGGTGAAGGGGGCTGGAGGATCAAAACGGTGACTATGGGAAGAGAGCTCTGGGAACCAGGAAACCCCAGTGCCACTGGGCTTGCATTGATGCCTTCCTTTTGTATCTTAGAACTTTGTAAAGATATACATCCAAGGATGTGTAGAGTTATATTTGCAGGACTTGTTGTGGGGAGATGGAGCTCCTCTCATCCTGTGACTTTGCCTTCAATGACCCGGCGTTCTCTGATTCCATTAGTGTAAAGGTGTCCAGCTCGTGGCCCCAAGAAAGAGAACTTAGGCGGTTCCTGAGAGGGTGACTCTCTTTGTTGTCCAGATATAGGTGCTCCTAAGCATAGCCAGTTCAAAGGCCCAAGCTATCCAGAGGCAAAAGTATGAATCACTATTATAAACATGACGTGTAAGCACAAGATAAACTAGGGCGTGGCTCTTGTGAGCTCTAAGATTAAAAGCTTAACGGGGAAGACGAGAATGACCAGTCGATGGGGGAGGCAAAGAGGTACTGGGGAAGTGAAAGGAGAAGCAACGTGGGCAGCAGAGAGGGTGGGGGGTCAGCGTTTTAAGGTGTGATTAACCTATTAAGTGAAGGAGGTGAGGCAGAAAAGGAGGCAGTCGTGAATTTCCAGAAGAGAGCTGCATAGAGTGGAGCGGGTAAAGGTCAGGTTTACAAGGGTTGTGGAAGAAACGGATGCTGTTTGGGGGAGCTTTGTGAAACAGGAGAGGATGAAAAGGTAGGATCAGTTGCGTAAGAGGTCATCAAGCTCAAAGAACGGCTGTCTTAGGATGTGAGAATAAGATTATTAGAAACCGTGAAGGGGTTAGGGGCCCTACCTAGCATGGCCAAAGCCCTGAGCTCTATCCCCAACACAAGAAACAAACAAACAAAAAGAAAGAAACTACAACAAAAATTAGATTGTCAGTTCAATGGAGATATGGCCCAAACTGGGTAAGTCACAGGTCAAGGGTTCAGAGCAGGCCCAGGAAAGGGCAGGGAATCAGAAGACCATGAGGGAATAGATGCAGGTAGACAGGGAAATACTTGGCAAAGATGGGAGCGGGGAGAGGAGGAGGAGGAGAGGGAAGGAGAGAGAGATGGAGAGTGAAGATAGCAAGAAAATTATAAAATAGGAGGGGAGTTCACCTGCTGAGGGCCTGGAGGACAGTGAAACAGGGGAGAGGGGTAAAGTGGAGGTTCTCATCAGTCGTGATGGGAAATGCCATGGGAACCCAAGGCGTACGGGTGAAACCCGAGGGGGCCCAGGCGTCAGATGAGGCAAATTGGATCCAATTAGCACGGCCATGTGCCGTGTTCGACACACTTTGGACACGCTTTTCCATCACCTAGGTGAGAAGGCAGGGCTCCCACAGGTGAGGACCGACAAGGCAAAGCGTGGCAGAAGCAGGCAAGGACCTGAGGCGGGGAGGACCGGGGAAACGGGACACAGTGGGAGGCGGAGGTGAGAGACGGTGTGTTCAGAGGCTGAAACCTGGGGAGTGGATCCGTTTGAGTTCTGTATGAATTGAAGACACGCTGAGGGACCCAGGTTAAGCAGTTGCTGCCAGTGGCATGGAGATCAGCCTAATAGGGGAAGTTCATGTGGGTGGTTCCTCAAGGAAGCTGAAGACTGTGAGGAAAAAGAACGGAAGTGATCATTAACAGGGCAAACCAACCTAAGTTTTTCTGGAGCATCCCGAGAGGAATGACCCTTGTCCAGGTGCTGTAAAGTTATCAGCGGGGAAAGGATGTTTTAAATGTCACGAGACTACAATAGTGAAGGGAAGTAACAGTATAAACTGTCATGATTCATGCGAGAGGAAAGGTGGATGACCTTGAAGAGAGCAGGAGGGTAGACGACAGGCCAGGTTCTTTGCCTCACCTACAACTGAAGAGCAACCCGGTGCCATAGTCGCTTAAAACCCCTAGCATGCATGAAGTAAAATTTGGGAAGGCAATATAGGAGAAAGGGGCAGAGAAACAAAAGTCAAATCAAGGAAGGGAGGTTAGAATAAAAGGTAAGAGCACACCTGTAATCCCAGCACTCGGGAGGCTGAGGCTGGAGGATCGTTGCCAGTTCGAGGCCAGCCTGGGCTACAAAGTGAGCTCAAGGCCAGCCTGAACTGCATAGTGAGTGAGACCCTGTCTCAAAAAAAGACCAAAACAAAACAAAAGAATAAAAGGTTAGAATGGAATGGAGGCCTGCAGGGGGAAGCCAGGCTGATGCAGGATGAAAGTGGTGAGGGGCTTCCGGGCTGGCCCAGTCCTCTGGCACAGGGATGAAGTTATGGGAACGAGGGCTGAGACACAGGCTGGCTGGGCCTTTAGCAGTAGGGCAGGAGTGGTGCCAGAGGAAGAACATGGCTCCTTGTACGGAGGCCTGGAGAGTTCAGTAGCTCACTTAGTGCAGTTCATCGCGATTGCTAAGTAATTTATTATTGTGCTACGAGTGCCTCAGTGAGATGACTCATACTGAGTAGAAGCCAACGGAAACAATTGTGGAAATAAGAGGTCTCAAGCCTTGGCCCTGTTCCAAAAATGCCTTATACAAAGGAAGTTTGGCTCTGCTAGCTCTTCCCAGCCTGTAACCACCAAGGATTTATTCACAGAGGGCAAGTATGGTGTTTTTCTTAAATGACAGTGCTTGGGAAGAAAACTAAAGACCTTCTGTTTTTCTAGGACTCTAGGCTTATATCCTGAGGCTGCCCGATTTGGATATTTCTCTGCTGCTCTCTTGGCCCCTCACTTAATTGGTGAATGTTTAACTCTTGTGCTGCTGGGGATAGTCCAAAACCCAAATATTGTCAACAGTATAGTGGCTCTGCTGAGCATTGCTGGGTTGCTGGTTGGATCTGGATTTGTCAGGTAAGATACAAAGATTCAAAGGATTTATGGGGGTATATGTGGATGATGACTGCAGGATGACGGCTGCTATAAAGGAATCCCAGAAAGGAGCTCTGTGGTACTAGCTAAAGGTATCACTTTGCCGTCTGGAGTACTTACTCTGCCTGCTAAGTAATAATTATTACCTTAGCCCCTGTACCAATTATTCAATAAAATGTCTCTCTATTGGGAATTGGGAAATAAGGTAAGCAAATTAATGATATGATCCACATACAACAAGCTATGGAAACAAAAGCAGGAAAACCAATCTGGATGCTCCAGAAAAATTCACGATCCACATTCCAGGCTAAATATATATTATTAGTTCAATTCTGACCTGGCATGTCAGGTCTATTGCGGGTCTCAATTCCCAGTTATTTTTAGGCACTGAAACTAGTTAGATAAGGGGCTGGGGATTTAGCTCAGCGGCATAGCGCTTGCCTGGCAAGCACGAGGTCGTGAGTTCGATTCCCGGTACCAGAAAACAACAACAACAACAATAAAAACTAGTCAGATGAAAAAAAAAGGACTGCAGGATAGAAGACTGCTCAAGAAAGTTTCAGGACTTAAAGGACATGTGCCAAATGTTAACAGTAATTATCTCTAGATGATATTTAATTTTAAACTCATATTTTCTATATTTTATAAATTTTCCACAATTTTATAATGAATACACATACTTTAAAAAGAACAGAAGAGGTGGAAATTTTTAAAAAGTTAAAAAAGGCAGGTGAATGTTAGCCAGGTGTGGTGGTGCACGCCTGTAATCCCAGCACTTGGGAGGCTGAGGCAGGAGGATCGTTGTGAGTTCGTCAAGACCAGCTTAGGCTACAGAGTGAACTCAAGGCCAGCCTGAACTGCATAGCAAGACCCTGTCTCAAAAAGACCAAAAAAAAAAAGGCAGGTGACATGACTGAGATCTAAACTCTGGGTCCTCAAAGGTTTTATTTCTTTGATTTAAAAATCAAATCATGCTTTGAAATCCTGTATTATTTTTATTGTTTTTGTACTGTTTTGGTTTTGTCTTCATTGTTGTTATTGGTTTTTCTCTTTAAAATAAAAGAATCAAATCACAAACAAAGAACAAGTGAATGTCCACTGTATAAAAAACTTGTATATGTTAGTCATGTGGCTCTCAGAACGACCCATTTTTAAGCTCAAGCTTGACTTTGCCTGAGTCCCGAGCCTGTGATGCCCATGGCTCCCTGGACAGTGGACTGACTGGGGTCAGAAACTTCCTCCACCCCCGGCCTGCCCCATGAGCAGGACCAAGGCACTCTTCTGTCTGTTTGTTCGTTTTTAAGACGGAGTCTCGCTATGTAGTTCAGGCTGTCCTTAAACTGACTATGTAGCCCAGGCTGGCCTCAAACTCATGGTGATCCTGAGTTCCTGCCTCAGCCTCCCAAGTGCTTGGATGACAGGCATGTGCCTCTATGCCTGGCACTCTTCTGTCTCGGATTGGTCTCATTTATAAAACAGAGGTTCGGGGCTGGGGATTTAGCTCAGCGGCAAAGCACCTGCCTGGCAAGCGCAAGGTCGTGAGTTCGGTTCCCGGTACCGGAGAAAAACCAAAAAAACCAAAAAAAAAAAAAAAAAACAGAGGTTCTTATCTCGGCCTCACCTACCTCAGGAGGTCACTAGGAGTGAGCGAGGTAGCAACGTGAAGACACAGGGAGCAAAGCCAGCTAGGTTTTGATGGATCAAGAAGGTATTCTTTACATTACCTGGTGTTTGTCTAAAGCGGCTTGTCTATGAGAAATGCACAGATCGGGTCATCCTCACGGGTGCAGACTCGAGCTTGGGCATTGCCTCCTCTTTCACATTCTTTGAATCATTACGTGCCTGTCAATCTGGGACTTCCTCCTGTACCTGCTTTTTAGCAAGAGGAGATTAATTGCTGTTAAAATGGAGCCGTGGGCTAACATTACTACTAAATGCTCTTGATTTCTTCACAAAATCTTCAACATGGAGAGGCTTTTCACTCAGGCTCTGCCCAAACTCCAGGCACTGCTGCGCGGGCCCTTTCATGGGCTTCGTCCCTGACTGCACCGCGGGCATTTGTGCTCCCGGACCCCTCCTCCTTCAAACACAAATGGAGGCAGCTTCGCTGTTCCTTCCACTCACAAGATTTCAAGTTCTTTGGGACGAGAAATGCACATGACACAGACATCTGTGCAGAAGAAAAAAAGTTACCCCAAGTATCACAACCCAGAGCTAAGCTTTGTTGCATATCCGGCTAGACTTCAGTAATGTTTTTAGTAAAAATGGGATTGTACTATTGTATAAGGGGGAAGGATGCGTACTTTCCTACCATTTAACAGCATAAGGGGGACAGTTCCCTGTCAACAAATCTAAACCCCTGGTGCCTCCCTCTCGAGAGCACCCCCTGGGTTGCTAGGACACAGCCAGGTCGTCCTCCGTGCCTTTCGCTTCCTTGGTCTCCCTCTGCCTGCCCCGTGTTCCCATGGCCCAAGCAGCTCTCTCTGACCACTGCCCAGCACGTGTCCCTTGTGCTGCAGTCTCCTTAATCGATCGCCATCCGCTCGAGGGCGGCAGTGGCGTCTCATTTATCATCACGGTCTCTCACAGGGGCCGGCACACGGTCTTCGCTCAGGTCCGCGTATGATCTTTGAAAGCCTCGTTGGCTCAGAACCACTTAACAGCCTCTCGGTGTGGCTCATTTAATCTGCGTCTTAGAAAACTGCCACTGAATGAAAGTCATGGGGCTTAGGGGTCACCTGGGAATAGGGGAGATCACAAACACCGAATACGAGAGTGTCATAGATGTGCGATACTATTTCTCATGCTCTTGGCATAAATAGGTCACTGTTCTATGTTTTGTAGTCTCAATCCTTTTATGCTTTGTGTTTCATTTTTGGAATGATAATAACAGTGGAACATAATAAAATTTTTTTCTCTTCCAGTTCTTCTTTTATTTTAAAGAGAACAGTAAAAAAAAAAAAAACAGTAGCCAAATGGGAACAAAATAAAACAAGAACATTAAAAATGATACAGGGTTTCAAACCAAATGACAGGGATTAACAGTGGTTGTTATATTACACATTGTTATCTTCAACGAAGTTGCTCAGATTACCAGATGTAAGAATGGAAGATTGATCAAACCATTAAAGAGAATAAGAAAATAATAATTTAAAAGAACATTAGAGACAATACATAGTGTCACTAGGCAGGATGGTAGGAATTCAGCAATGATTGTTATACTGCATATTGTTGTCTTCACATCAGTTGCTCAGATTACCAGATATAAGCATGCAAAATTGGTCAAAATATATATAAAAAACTTTTAAGCATTAACTGTTCCCCTCAATAGAACACCAGACATCAGCAGTACAGTTACACCAGATATATATATATATTCTTATTCCTTGAATTTTTCTAGGTAACATATATAAATTTCATGAAAAAAACTCAAAAATTGCAGTCTTTGGCACAAATGAGTTAAGGATATATATTCTGTGTCTCTAACCACATTGTGAGTTCTTCAAGGATGAGATACTAGTTTTTAAATTCCTAAAGCATTTAGAACTAGAGCTTTGCAAATATATTTAATATGCATTTGTGGCCCGGCAGAAACCATACAGTGGACTAAGGAGGCCACGGCATCGACACGAAGTTTCTTCGGAGATGGAATGGACAGCAGGCATACTTGTCTTCACAGTGAATGTGTGCCTGCCCTCTCCCTCCTCCCCTCTTACATTCTAGTTTAGCTCTCACTTCACACCCTAGCACCTTCACATCTATGTTTAATCACAGGTATCCTCCTCTCGTGTTTTCTTCTATGTTATATAAGTGGTGCTTACCAAAAAAATTACACACTAGTCCATCATGAAAGGACTGGTTGAGTCTCCACTATAATGTCAAAACACGTTTTCTTGGTTGTTTTGTTTTTTGTTTTTTTTGGTACTGGGAATTAAACTCAGAACCTTGTGCTTGCTAGGCAGGCACTTGTGCCACTGAGCTGTATCTGCAGCTCTAAATCTATGGGATTGTTTTTTTTTTTTTTGGTACCAGGAATCGAACTCAGGACCTTGTGCTTGCCAGGCAGGTGCTTATGCCACTGAGCTATATCCCCGGCCCGTCCACTATAATGAATCACTAAAGTATAATTAAAAATGACTGAATGCTATTTACTAACTTGGAAGGAGTCTGAGACATACGTTTGGGGGAAATAAGCATGTTAGGAAATAGCATAGTCTAATCCCATTTGTGTAAAATTTTATAAACACATACATAAGTTGTATATATCACCAGAATGTTAACCACAGTTGTTTCTGGGCAGTGTATTTGTTTATATTTTAGTATTATTCAAAGATTTTTACAGTGCAGATCATTTTTATAATAGAGATGAAAAATTATGTTAGAGAACATAAAATAACGACTGCCTTTCTTTTCATTTGGTAAAACTATTTAGCAGAGCCCACTGAATTTTATCTTTCTCTCTTTTGTTCCCTTAAGAAACATAGAAGAAATGAACTTTGCTTTTAAAATCTACAGTTATTTTACATTCCAAAAATATTGCTGTGAGATTCTTGTAGTCAATGAGTTCTATGGACTGAATTTCACTTGTGGTAAGTACTCAATTTTGAAACATTATTTTTACATACTACTCCGAGGAAACAATTTTCTGAGAGAAGTGTATTTTGGGGATAAATGCTACATTTTGTAATACATTGATTTTTTAACACCTTGTCTTGAAATAAAAGACAGCATTTTTTTTTGATTTTTAAAATAAGCAGTGGTCCAGTTTGTCTCCTGCCAAAGGTCAACTGTCTAAGGCCACTTTGGTGTTATTAGCAAGTGACAGAATTTATGTACACTGAGTTGAACTGTATATTCTAGATATTCAGCTCTACGGAGATGAGTACCTAGGTACTAATATCTAGTGTCTACTGAGCTCACTCAAGCAGGCGATAACGTGGCTTCATGCTCCCTAAAATGTATGCGGTAGGTAGCTCAGTAGAGCCGTTTTTGATAGCAAAAGTCCATTCCCCAATCCCACAGGGGGCAATGGGAGCACCGTATCTCCTGGCCACTGGAGATCCTAGGGCCACTCGAAGACAATGAAAGAACATGGCAGAATTTAGTGGTTATTTAAATATTTTTAGGTGACAGCGTCAGTTACTTTAGAATATCTGGTGCTAAGTGAACATCATTTTATCAACAATATGGTAAGGAATCTATACCCAAAATAGAAACAAATCCATCTTCATCTTCAAATGGAGCCAAGGCCCAGAACTCTCACTCCTGCTTCACTTGATGCTGAGTTCTGGACTCTCAAAATTGCCATATATCTTTCATGAAGAAGGGCGCTTCACACAGTGCTAAGCACTTCTTGAACATTAAATTCGTGGTGAGTCACCTGAGATGCGCCACCGCTGATACTGTCCATCTTTTCTTTCACAGGCAGCTCAAATAATTCTGTGATAAATAATCCAATGTGCACCATCACTCAAGGAATTCACTTCATTGAAAGAACCTGCCCAGGTGCCACATCCAGATTCACAGCAAACTTTCTGATCTTATATGCATACATCCCAGTTCTGGTCATCCTGGGAATAATTGTTTTTAAAATAAGGGACCGTCTCATTAGCAGATAGTGCAGAGCACTGCCGGGAGAAGGAATTGCAGACAAGGACGACTGTTTCAAATGTCTGAAGCACGAACACCACGGATTTCTTTCTTGGTGGGACATTGTCTTTCCACCACTAAGACTTCATCTGTGTTCTTCAGACCCACAAAGGCCTCGAGTGCAATGGACATGGGTCACAGCCCCTTGTTTTCCAAACTGTTGGAACGTGTGGTGTTTGAAAACGGACTGAGCTGGTCCAAGAATGTAAATAATAATAATAATCCATAAGCCTATGGGAGACCAGTGTGAATATTTGTTTTCCTTGCTGTAGATATAAAAAATTGAGTCAATTTACAAATTATGCTTACATGTGATACAGAATTTGGTAGGAAGGAATGTTTGAATGATTACTGACTGGAAGCAACAGGAACAAGTTAAGGGTTTAATTGAAACAGAATCATAGAGAATTAGGTAAGAAGGTTTTAGCTATCATTTAATGCCCACATTTGCTGGGTGTGGGGGTGCATGCCGAGCTACTTGGGAGACTGAGGTAAGAGGATCACAGGTTTGAGGCCAGCATGGGCAACCTAGGGAAACCCTATCTCAAAATTTTAAAAAAAAAAGAAAGAAAGAAAAAAGAAAAGAAAACAGAGAGAAAGCAAGCAAGCAAGCAAACAAGGTAAGTACCTCAGTGGTAGAACACTGGCCTGGCATACACAAGGGCCTGCATTTAATTCCCAATACCCCCCAAAAGAAACAAACGGCAGTAAACTAAAACCCACATGTAGGTGCTCTTATCCACATGAGAGGGCTCAGCTCTCTGATCACACTGAGAGGACACTGGACATCGTTGAAGGGTGACCACCACTGATACTGAGGAGCCAGTGGTTTTGCTGGGGATCAACATCTCCCCTGCAGGAAGGAAGGGGCTGAGTGGTGGGCAGAGCACCATGGGCAACTTTGTGCTGATGGCTTTGAACGTGAACTTGCTACTTTTCACATCCAACTTGGTTTACTTAGAAAATTAAAAGTAGATATTACTAGACGAGTGCATGCCCTGAGACGTGACCTCTTTAGGACATGGAGATCAGCTGTTATTAAAAGTCCTCACAGAAGAAGACCCAACTGACACAACATTTCCACTGAGCAAGGGATTCATGCTCTTGGATTGTAAAGAGAAAGAAGGTTGATAAATATAGACACATGTCTCACATATTTCCAGAGATGAAATGATGAACGTAGGATTCTCTACTATACGACTGATTATCTTTCGGATTGATCTTCAAGTAATTCATGTACAAGTCTCAAATGAAACTATGTCGATGTTGCCATGGTAACTCTGAGCAGAACCGCACAGACAGCACGTGAACTTTGTTCAGTTACTGTGACCTAACTTGTAAAGCGTGATAAATTATAGCATTTGAGATGTCTCACATTACAGTAGGAAAGATCATTTCATTAAGGGAACCACAGTAAAATTCTATTGCCTAGAACAGTATTTAAGGATCTGGAGACATTGGTAAATTACCAGAAGAGTATTGTCAATTTTTATAAAAGGTCTGTGACATTGATGATTATGGTATAATAGTTACATAATGCCTTACAGATTCTATATGTCACATCAGCTATAGACAATTCTGAGATGATAATCTGTTAAGGTAGTTCAAAGAGAGTCTCACAGGAACATCTTTTGAAATCACTGATTTCGACATAGGAGAGATATGGGTGTACATGGTAAGTAGAAACATTTTCTACTATTCAGATGCAGATGAACTTCATTCTGGCTTGGAAATATTTAGAAAATTGACATCACATGTGACTTCAAGCCATTAAATGTTAGGGACAGTATCTCAGAAAAACACAATGACTTTCAACATGTGACATTTTGTACCTCAACTCAAAAAGGGACAGTGATATGTAAGAAAATCAAATTATATAATAAAAATCCCTATTACTATTGTGTGCTAGGGTGTTTCTAAGATCATAATGTTTGCTGTGAATGTAAAGCGCGCTCCTCCGCAGCATGCAGGGGGAAATCTGTTCTTCAGAGAGTCCTCAGAAACATCTGAAAGCTGTCTCTAGCTTGTTGCTACCAGCAACCCTGAAGCCCTGCTGCCCTGCGGCCACAGCATGGCTTGCTGCCCACGCAGACCCACTGGGCAGTCTCAGTGCTCTCGGGTTAGGAAATGCGCTTCTCTGAAGCTGGGGACAGGGCGTATTGCAGTTGTACTTTGTAAATGGAAATGGAAAAACAAGAATAACTTTTCCGGCTAATAACAGCAATTATACTTACAACTAAACTTGACTAAAGATACTGTCTTGGTTACTTTTCTCTCATTGCTGAGACAAAATACCCCACACCCAAAATTAAGGAAGGAAAGGTTTATTTAGCTCACAGTTTGTGGAGGTTTCAGTCCGTACCTGGATGGCTCCAAGGCAGAGCGGCACATGGCAGAGGGCAATAGTTCATGGTGGCAGAAGATAGCAAAAGCAACCGGAGCAAAAGGGAGGAGCGGCGGCTGGAAGAGCAAGCCTCTTTTCCTCCCTTACATTGCATGCAAACTACTTGCCCCTGGGCAAGTGTAGCACTCACATCCGTAATTCCAGCGCTGGACCATGGATCAATCATAAACTCTAGAAGCCCGCCCCATGACTGCATGTGGCTTTTGGGGGACACCCAGACACAAACCACAACAGATACATAAACCCATAGGACTGGAAAGGCTTCTTAAAGAAATCTTCGTGGAAAGAATCCTAGTTATCTCCAATTTATGACATTTTGGTCTGCTTATTCATAGGATATCATCTTAATTTTGTCTACAATTTAAAAACATGTTAATTTCAAGTAATGTGTCAGTTGTACCTGGTGATGATTTTAAGAATGCTCCATTCCAGACAGTTTTTCAGAATTTCTGCATGTAGAAACCTAGGAATATGCATTTTTTTTGTTTTGTTTAATTTTGAGACAGTGTCTCACTATGTAGCACAGGTGGGTCGTAAGCTCACTGTGTAGCCAAGACTTGAACTCTATGTGATCCTCCTGCCTCAGCCTCCTGAATGCTGAGATTATGGGTGTACAACCACCACGCCCAACAGGAATGTGCATTATAAATAAGTATTTGCAGATGCTTTCTGTGCCTCACTGTTAAGAATAAAAGCATGACACCCAGGAGCCCAAATCTGGATTCTCACCAACCACAGCTGAGTTCATCTTCTAGAAAGAATTTGTCCAATACAGACACTTAACATTGTATTTAAAACTGTTACCAGGGGCTGGGGATATAGCTCAGTGGCATAAGTGCCTGCCTGGCAAGCACAAGGTCATGAGTTCGATCCCTGGTACCACAAAATAAATAAATAAATAAATAAATAAATAAATAAATAAATAAATAAAAAATAAAACTGTTACCAAATACTCTTGCTTTCATTGTCCCAAGAACATATAACCAAAACTTACAGTACATTTTGGGCTGAGTCTGTTCCACTGACACACATTAGACACAAGTAACAGAAGGTTCCTTTATTTTTAAGAAATATTACATGTAGTTACAAAATGTTTTTCCCTTTTTTTTTATTTTTTATTTTTTTTATTTTAAAGATAAAAGGAGGGAAACATTAACAGACATACAACATTTTACAACATATCACAAGCACAATACAGACAATACAGAGTTACAAACAAAGTGGTAGGGAATTAACAATGGTGGTTGTATTACATATTGATATCTTCAAAGTGGCTTCTCATGAATATTTTTCCCTTTTAAAAGACTTCAGAGCATCCAGAAAGGAGTCACATTAGAGAAAATCGAGCTTTTGCTCTAACCAGTCACATCTCTTAACTTTCTTCACGGATTGCCACAATAGTTAATTAATAAAATAATCTTACTTGAACTTGGGAAAGAAAAGAAAAATCAATATAATAGCTGAGTAAGGCTCAAAAGTCAAGATCAATCTGTTTCCAAGACTTGGAAGCATTTCTCTTGTACTGCTCCAGTTCCTAAAGCAAAAATATGCATTAAGAAAAATCAACTTTCCAACTTCAAGCAGGCATCTTAAAACTTCCTTAGCATTCTAAAGATATAACGATATATCCTTTATAGTATTACCATCCTCAAAACTTCTTTTGTAAGTGATTATACTACAGATTTACCTCCTAGAGATAGTTTTTGGTCTGTGTAGTCCAAGCACTGATAGCTTTACTGCAGTTTCAGTTAAAATTACGTATGACATAGAGCATATCAAACTGACTCCAACTAATAAAACAGAGCATTTGTCAAATATTGAAAAATCAATGGGAAACAATCGGAAGGAGGGGAGGAGGGGATGAAGACAGGACGAAGCCGTGCTGCGCGCACGCGCCAGCTCCCCACGAGGAGCGCGGTCACGACGCACTGCAAACATGGACGAATCAACAACTTTTAAAACGCTAAAAGTGAAACAATATTGAAGATGTGTTCTACTTCTAGAAATTCACCCTTCATACTAGAGAGGCGCACACGATGTGCACGCAGGCAGCTCGCTGCTCGGTGCGTCTCGGAACAGCTCAGATGCCCCGTGGGACGGACGGACACACAGGCGGCAGCGGCCACTCGCGAGGCCCCCAGGGCAGGAAGGAACAGGGACACGCGGCACGGGCCTGAGAGCGCAGCACCAGCTGGGGAGGGGTCAGGGTGCTGCGGTTTCCTACCTTATAACTGCTGTATCTTTTGACTGTTTTCACAAGAATCGATTTTATATTAATTAAATAAGAATTAATTTTACATTTCATAAAACAAAGATAAATTTTTGGTGATGAAAATCCCTAACAAACAAGCGACTGGAGAGGATGATCAAAGGGCTTTCTTCTTGGCCTCCGCTGTGTTGCTCCGTGTCTAATAATGTGCAGTTTGTATTTTGGATAGGCAAGCTGTGTTTGCTCTGCTGGGTAAGGTCATCACGGCCCTGCAACAAAACTGAAGCTCACAGTTGCCAAGAAAAGAATATCCACTCTCACTGTTAGAAAAGAATATCCACTCTCATTGCTAGAAAAATGATGGACTGTGTCTTTAAGAGACCTACATTCTAAGTTATTATAATTTCAGTGTTAGAAGTTTTTAAACTCTATATGCGTTAGAATTTTTATAGCAACTCCAAAATAGTTTTTGCAGTGTTTTTTTTCACTAATGAAGTAAATCTAGTTTAACAGTTATCTACCATTTCAAAGATTGTTAACTTATGAAGAATAAACAAATTAGTATTGCAAAATTTGTCTTTAATGGGAAGGTTTTTTTATGAGAGTTGTTTTTTGTTTTGAGACGAGGTCACTCTATGTATTTTATACTAGCCCTGAATTCACTCTGTAGCCCAGGATGGCCTCCAACTCACAGAGACCCTTCGGCCTCAGCTCCCAAGTGCTGGGATTATAGGTGTGCGCCAACACACCCGGCTTATGTCTTTAATTGGAAGTATTGCATTCTTTTTACAAGATGAAGGTGAAAACACTGTTTTGCTACCCTTTGCTAGCAGTATGTCCCTTCTGCAGGTGGCAGACTGAAAGGGGGCTCGGGCTGGGCATACGGGCCCTGCCGGAGGAAGAAGAGTAACTGCTGCGAGTCAGGACTTACCACGGTTACCTAATTTCTAATGCAGAGATTAAAGACCCTGAGACTCATTTCCTGTTCTATTCCTGCTACTTATTTAGGCTGTTAACAGTGGGCCTCGGAAGCATGGAGGGAGCCAGGAGGAGGACCGTGTGTGGTCTCCTGTGGGCTCGGCGTGAGCGCTCTGCCTGTGGACAACCGTATTCCCGTCAATGCAGCAGACGTAACTGCTCCTCCCGAGAAGAACAAGGACCAGAGCCAGCATTCGGGTTGGAGGTACACGGGCACACTGTGAAGTCTAGACTTCCTCCAGCAACAGCACACTCTCCTGTAATTATGCACACACTCCTGTGCTCTGTGAGAATTTAAAACTGAGAAGTAGTTGAATCATTCTTCCCTTTTAAATCAGCATTACTGTTCCAGATGTCAAATCAAATCAAATCAAATGTAAGAATTATAATGCTGCTTTTATTATAAAATGTTACACAGCTATAATCACATTAAAAGCTCAAAAATGCCAATATTCCTCAAATTCTTCAATGAAATTGAAAGGGAAGCAATTCTTCCTAACGACTTCTGGAGGCAAGTATTACCCTGATATCAAAACCAGAGAAAGATCCAACCAAAAAAGAGAACTACAGGCCAGTCTCCCTAAATAACACAGATGCAAAAATCCTCAATAAAATACCAGCAAGCAAAATGCAGCAAATCATCAAGAAGACTATACACCATGACCAAGTGGGATTCATCCCAGGGAGGCAGGGATGGTTCAACATACGCAAATCAATAAATGTAATACACTATATCAATGCAGCCTAAGACAAAAACTACATGATCATCTCCATAGAAGCAGAAAAAGCTTTTGACAGAGTTCAACACTCACTCATGATGAAAACCCTACAGAAAATCAGACTAGATGGTCTTTACCTCAATCTGACAAAAGCTCAAAACGACAAACAGTGTGAAGACTGATACAGGGGTTTTGCCTTCCAATTCAACTCAAAATTTAAGCTGTAGACAACTGGCCAGACTTTCACCTAATGCAGATGATTTTATTTTAAAGCTGTTGCAGTAAAACTGGCAGTGACTATCTTGCCCATATAAAAATGAAAGTGTATATTTAAATGTTTAGAGGAAAATCAATAAGAATGTTCCAAAATCAATCTATAGAGAATTTCTATATCAGGTGTGTATATTAGCACACCATTGGAAACCACTTTAGGTCCTGAAACTCCTTTGAGAGAGCATGAAATAATATTCAAATTTAAAACTTTGGATACTGAAGGTCAAATTTGGAAATCAGGTAATAATTAAGCATCAAATGAGAACTACAACGGTATCTTTAAAGCAGAAGCAGAAATTTATGTTAATAAACCAACGCAACTCGTCTACTAAAACAAGAAGGAAACTGGCTTAGAGGCAAAACTTGTCAGGTAGGTTAAAAAATCTGTGAGCCCTTTCATGACCTGTTGGCAGTTACACACAAGAGTCAAGAAAAGAATGATTCAGGCACTGTGGGATTCTGCTTTCTAGATCCAGTCAGAGCTAGGTCAGGGAAGATGGGTCTCAAAGTGAAAACTCACAATGTTCTGAAATACCCCTAACCTTTAATAATACCATCGCATGTGAACTTAATAACATGTCATTCCCATAAAATCTAAACAGATATCTTATCAATAACAGTAGTTAATCATCAACTCAGAAATATTAATTTAGAGATGATTTCCAAATAATCTCTTCAGCCAAGGTTCATCTGTAATAAGGGTTACATTAGGTCATTTTACTGTCTGTACAGCATGAGGTTCATCCATAGGGTTACATTAGGTCATTTTACTGCCTACAACGTGAGGCTCATCTGTAATAAGGGTTACATTAGGTCATTTTACTGTTTGTACAACATGAGGTTCATCCATAGAGTTACATTAGATCATTTTACTTCTACAACAGGAGGCTCATCTGTAATAAGGGTTACATTAGGTCATTTTACTGTTTGTACAACATACTCCTTACTGTACTTTAGCTACAAGACCACCTAAATATTCATGGAACATTTTCAAGTCTTCTGGACTATATTTACATAAAATTTTGGATTATGTATTCTACAGCCCCATCCCATGAAAGGTGTGAGCTAAGAGAAATAACCCTGCTCACTGCTCCCATCAGAGAGTTGTCGCAAGGTCACTCTTGCAACTGTGTGACTGCCCACATTACAGAGCTCTACATATCCCACCCCACACAATGTCATGGTTTGAAAAAGTTCAGGTGCTTGCTGTACAGAAGCTTCCTCAGACGAGGACAGGTTGTGGAATATCTCTTTCATTAAACTGAAAGCAGATCTGAAAAAAAATCTAGCAACCGCATTTGAGTCATGGTGAATTTACCAACTCTTGTATTCTTATGTCAAGCTGGTATATTGAAATGGGGCTGTCTGGGCGGATTCGAAGCACTTTCCTAACAGGTCCTAGGTTCTGTGAGCTTATGTGCTTTCAGCTGGACCAGATAATTTTCCTGCTATAAGAAAAGTACAGGCATGTCTGAATATTCTCATGAAAAACAAAACCTTTCAGGCAATCCCACAAACAAAGAAATATTATGAAAATGTCTCCGCAGCAGCAAGGTAAGAATCACGACCCATTTTAATGTAAGTAAACCAGAAAAACAAATAGGATATACGAACATTAAAATATCTGCGGGTAGTGCGATGACAGAGGATTTTTAAGTTTCATCTTTATGCACATCAGATTTTTCTATAGTAGAGACAGTTTTTAAATAATTTCAAAAGTAAACATACACTAAACAAATGCATAGAGAAAAGTACATGGAATTCCCAAGGCATGGCCGATTTTATAGTAAAATACCAGATGAAACTAAGTAAGTGTTTCGGTACTACCTGATCCTTCTGAACCCTCATCTCGTCCACGTCGCTTTCGGCATACTGAGGGTCTCGCGCGGGGTCCCTGGCATCTTTCAGTGTGCGCATGCTCTGAAATCACGGAAACAGACCCAATCATTCTGTGCCCCAGATGGCTGCCATCCGCGTGGCAAGCCAAGCTCCCGCGTCCCGCCTGCCGCTGCAGGCTCCCCGAGATCTTTCAAGCTTTTAGCATCACTAGTGAGGCCCTTTCCAAATTCCCCCAGGCCTCTTGCCTCCTTCCCCTTGCGGTGTCGTCTCTCGCTTCTCCAGCAGCCAGAGGACTCTGGCCAGAAGGGGAGCGGGAGCCGCCTCGCTCTCATCTTTCCATGGTCATGCTGCTTCCTTTACCACAGAGGGTGAGTAAACGTTTAGCTGATTTGTGCGCATCAGAGAGAAAAACAAAGTTACCATATTGGGCCTTTAGCACATTGCCTGTAACTGTGACATCGTGCTAAAAATCCGTGCTTTAAACAAATTAGAAATACATACCTTTGGTGGAAAGAGCTGTTCATACACTTTTTTCCACAACTCCATTGGTGTGTGGGCATGAAACTTTCCAATGTCGTTATCAGGAACAGGGGGAGGACCTAAAATAGTTAATTCCAAGTGACTGCATTGATTAAAACACTATAAAACATCAATAAAATAGATGAATAAATCTTAGATTTCTCATTTTACCCACCATAGCAAGATAATAGTACTGGAAGGACTAAGGAGTGGTGGGTAAGCTCTAATTCTTATTTTTCACATTCTACTGCTATATTCATATTCTCTTAACATTACTTCCAGACCTTGGTTTGTACCCTAGCAATACCTGGATTATGTTCTGAGGGTGTAACACTGTAGCATCATTTGTATTATGTAAAACTGACCACAACCCAAATGTCCACCAGTAGTTAATAATGAAACAGATTACTATGCTAAACTTTGCTTTGTAACACTAGCCAGTGGGTAAAATAACAAACAGACTTGTATGGAGCATTAATACGGAAAAGACGTTAAGGCACCATCATTACAAAATTCCAAAATGGTAGCTACAGACTGATAAAATTATGTTGAAAAAGTTTTTTCTATATACATGTATTTAAATGCAGAAGAACTAGAGAGATACATAACAAATTCATTCCTTACATGTATTAAGCTTTTACAAGAATCATTCATGTATTGCTTGTACAATTTATTTGCATAGCTTGCTTGCTTGATTTATTTACGTATTTGTGGTGCTAAGGATTGAGTCGAGGGCCTCTTGAATGCTAGGCAAGTGCTCTACCATCGAGCTATACCCCTAGCTCACTTGTATGATTTAATTTGAAAAAACTAAAAAATTTGCCGTGATTTTCTGGCAATTTTCAATCTGTTACCTGAGGTTGATTATCTTTATGTTTATCTTTTTCACTGTCTATATTATTCACCAAACTTTCTCAGTGAGGATCTTCCAGGGCCTCCTCGCCACTTTGGTGGGAAAGGCAGTGACACCTTCTACTGACCTTTGCCAACCCCTCCGTGTGTATGTGCACGCGTGTGTAATGTACATACAATCTCATCACCTGCACAGGGCCACAGATCTCCTACCACAGTTCAGACACTGAACAATTCCATCACCACAAGGATGCCTGCCCTTTTATAGACACACCCACCTAACTTCTCCATTCACTTCCCCACCGAGAGTCCTGTTTCAGCCCTCTGACAGCTAATTTTTCCTCCATTCTAAAGTTTTCATTTCAAAAGTTTGTATAATCACACTCTATGCAAGCTTCCCTGACTGGTTTTTTCTTATTTAGTGTAATTCCTTAGAGTCATTTTTAAGTGGGTTGTTTGCGTTGTTGTTGTTGTTGTTGTTGGGTTCTTTATAGATTCTAAATACTAGCCCTTTAACAGATAGTGGTTCAAAAATAATTTCTCCCAGATTGTAGCATGTCTTTTCATCTTCTACATAGAGCAAAAGTTTTAAATTCTGATGTGGTCTAAGCTCCATGATTTTTAAATTTAGTGATTATCAACCCTTTTCTGAACATCAGCATTATCTATTAAAATACATAGAAATTTTCCTTGCTACTGAAGTTAGGTTGGCATTAATGACAACTGTAAAATGAGACTCCATGACTGTTCATTAAGCAAAAGTCCCACTATTCCTTCCATTACACTTCAATGTATAATCTCATTACAAAGATCTTCACATTTGGAGTCAAATAACCTTTAGCTTATAAGAGTAATAGAAGATGGAAAATAGAAAACTACTACCGGTTAGTGTGTTAAACGCAAACCATGCTACCCCAAGAGCATAATGAATTGCTAGGCTCAAAGATTTTCACAAAGAAAACTGTGCTGGTGAAATGTGAGCTCTAAAAATTCCCCTTGATGCAGAAGACGATGGGATCTGAGTTTAGGAAATACATCCACTAGGAAAAGCAAGCTATTTTTATAAGGAAAAAGTAAGACATACCCTGACTGGTACAACTGTGTTCTTTATGGTTTATTCTATCACTTCTTCTGTGAATTTCCTAACTATACTCCTGGTTTCTTCTAAACTCAAGGAGCTGAAATTTAGAAGTATCTGGAAAGCATTGAGAGAAAGGAAACACATGCAAATATTTTGGGGGGAAAGAGATCAGAAATGAGCGTCTTATGTGGCATAAGACGGTATTCTTTCAACCACAAATATGTCAATGTGATGCATGTCACATCAGTAGTGGGTATACAAACACATACATAAAAAATAACCGCAGTAATAGTGAAGCCAGAAACAGTGGCATGTTGGAGACGAAGCGTACATGGAGAAGGATAAAATCAATAAGCAATTTAAAAAGGTTGAGCAATCTTAATAAGTTCACCAACCTATCTGACATAAAGAATCCATTCCTGCAGTGATAAACAGTGGTTTATTCTGATCCACACAGATCGATCTGCTGCATGGAGAAGAAAAAAGATTCTAATTTAGTTTAGCAGTCGAACATGCTCCACACTCTAAATGTGAGAGCCAACGTTTACATCTAGCCACTGACGAGAAAAACTGCCCCAAAGGAACAAGTGAATATCAATTAAAGTGATTTCAAAAATTAAAGTACAGCATAATAAAGGTTTTAAAGAGGAAAACATGCGATAGACACATATTGCCTTAAATCCAAACCAAGAGAAACAGCAAAGCTAAGAATGATGTACATTAAAATTTTCAATTCAATTTCAAATTAACCTAAGAAAGTAATAATAGAGGGAAAGCTCCTAATATGGGAGAAAGAAGTAAAAGAAATCAGTGAACAAGTATTTTACTCCAGTCTCAAACTAATATGCTATTTTATTTGCAAAATTTGACAAATATTTAAATAATATGAGAAGCAAGAAATAGTCTGTAATTATCTAAGAATAGCCTTCTAGGAACTGGGGATTTAGCTCAGTGGCACAGCGCCTGCCTGGCAAGCGCAAGGTTGTGAGTTCGATTCCCGGTACCAGAAAAAAACAAAAAACAAGCAAACAAAGAATAGCCTTCTGGAGTACTTTCCTGGTCAAAAAACAAAAGAATTTTGAGGACAATAATCAGATGAGGTAGTATTCACAAATAAAAATAAAATGAAAAAAAAATTTAGCAGTACCTTTTATCGACGCCAAATGCCAACTGGTTGATAACTCCACGTATTTTTAGTAATAGAGCTTCTGATTTACTGGTAAACTACAAAAAAATAAAACAAGTCAAAACTCAAGAGAATATATTATATGCTCTGCTTTCCATTCAACAGGTCAAATAACTATGGCCTTGAATAGCTACAACTGCAGAAAGAATTACGATTTATTTGCCCAACAAATAGAATGAGGAGACAACACAAAAACTGAATAAAGAAATTTTGGCAAGTTTAACTCATTATTCAAACATCATGGGTGTATGACGTGGGAAAGACTTGTTTGTGCACAAATCATTTCAGCAAGTCAAATACAATCACTGTTATAGAATTAAAAAAATATATATAGGTCTATATGTGCTTATGATGTACATGTGTATGTATGTAAACATACTTAGTATGGTTTTTTTCCGGTACCAGGAATCGAATTCACGACCTTGCACTTGCGAGGCAGGCACTGTTCCACTGAGCTAAATCCCCAGCCCCTACTTAGTATGGTTTAAAAGAACAATTCCTAACATACAGTTGGTCTGGCTAGAAAATAAGAGTCACATATCAAAAATAACTTTTACATCCAAGCACATATTACTGCCTTTAAAGCTGCAGACTGGTACAACACTAACACTAACATTATTTAACCTCTTTTGAATTACCTTTGGAGCCTGAAAAATTAAGCTACTGAATACTCTCACTTGTAGAATATAACTAGAAAACCACAACTAGAATACTTTTGTAGAATGAAAGGAGGTGGATATTAATAATTAAGGTTTGACATCAGGTGAAAAATTTAGGTTACCGTACAAATCTGTGTGTGTGTGTGTGTGTGTGTGTGTTACAAAAGACTGAACTCAGGGCCTTTGCACAGAGCCACATACTTTTTTATTTTGAGATGGGGTCTAGTAAGTTGCCCTGGCTGGATTCAATCTTGTGATTCTCCTACTTCAGCCTCCCCAGTTGCTGACATTACAGGCATGCACCTGGCTTATCAATAAATCTTTTACACTGAGATTTGCTTTTTGAAAATACTAAGTCATTCAGAGCCAAATCCAAATGACTAAGATGTATGGAAGCAAAAAAAGTGACCTTAAGCTGAAATGGAATAGGAAATAAATCAAAGATATCAATTTTTTGGTTCCAATTGCAATTCTCTAAGATAAACATTTTGGAATAAGAACAGGTTCTCAAGGATGGTATCCAAAGGAGAACACTTTGTAAATATACAAGACTCAATACATTAAAAGAAAGATTGAAATAATTTTGATGCTTCTAATGAAATGTTTTAAAATCTATACAGAAAATTTTCATTGAATTAAAAATACAGTGCTCAGGGGCTGGGGATTTAGCTCAGTGGCACAGCACCTGCCTGGCAAGTGCAAGGTCATGAGTTCGATTCTCGGTACCGGAAAAAAACCAAAAAACCAAAAAAAAAAAAAAATACAATGCTCGCTTCAGCAGCACATATACTAAAATTGGAATGATACAGAGAAGATTAGCATGGCCCCTGCACAAGGATGAAACACAATTTGTGAAGCGTTCCATATTTTTTACTTCTATCTAGAATATATAAATTAGAAAAAAATCAGGCCCCCAAAATTCAAAGACCCAATCCAAAAATGGGCATCTGAGATGAATACACACTTCTCAGATGAATAAATACTAATGACGAAAAAGTGCATGAAAAAATGTTCAACATCATTCGTCATTCAAGAAATGCAAATTAAAGCAACACTGAGATTCCATCTCACCCCAGAAAGAATGGTTAGCATCAAGAAATCAACCAATAACAAATGCTGGAGAGGCTGTGGGGAGAAAGGAACCCTATTCCACTGCTGGTGGGAGTGTGGACTGGTGAAACCACTGTGGAAATCAGTTTGGAGATTCCTCACAAAACTAGGATTAGAAGTCTCACTTAACCCAGTTATTCCCCTTTGGGGTTTTTTCCCAGAAAAATTAAAAACATCATACCACAGTGATATATGTATACCCATGTTTATAGCAGTGCAATTTGTTATAGCTAAATCTTGGAAACAACCCAAATGCCCATCAACAGAGGAATGGATAAAAAAAATATGGTATTTTTATATAATAATGGAGTATTACTCAGCTATAAAAAAGATAAACTCAAGGCTTTTTTAGGTAAATTGATGCAACTAGAGACCATACTTATAAGTGAAATAAATCAGACCCACATGTGTAAACATCATATTGTCTCCCTGGTGTAGGAACCTGAAAGAGTAAGTAAAACTCAAAACATACAACAGATGATAAGAGAGGGAAAGAAATTTCTTGAAGGAAGGTGTGGAGAAGGACATTCTTTAGTTTACCTTTTAATCTATTACCTATTTGGGACTTCGGGCCTGACCAGGCCATATGATTAATTCTGGAGGAAGTCTAGCAAAAGCATTAGTGTAAAAGGAAATGACAGCAGGACCTGCGTCCCTGTGGAAAGCTGCTGGGACAACACTAGATGCCTCGCTGAGATATGGCCAAAGGAACGATAACACCATGGCTAACTAAGTCAGGTCTCATGCCTGTGATGATTGAGTTATATTGTCCTTGTTAATCCTGTTGGTTCCTCCAGTTGACCTGCTACTGCTTTTTGTTTGTATCCCAATAAAAGGTTATGGAAAATGGTAACTGAGGCTGAAGCCCCCGATCCCATTACTGTCTGTCTCTTGTTTTTCTTTTCATCTGCAGGCACCTCGTTCTCCAGACCTGTCACCCCAGACAGAAACGGCATATATACCAACAGGAAGGCACAACTGGGATGAGTGAAAGAAGAAAAAAGAAAAAAGAAAGGCAAAATACACACACACACACACACACACACACACACACACACACATACATAGAGAGAGGGATAAGTATATAGAAGGATAGCTGGGATAACTGTACTGCTGATGTCTGATGGAATATTGAAAGTAACAGTTAATGCTTAAAATTTTGTGTATTTTGAGCAATTTTGCATGCTTGTACCTGGTAATCTGAGCAACTGATGTAAAGATAACAATATGCAATGGAACAACCATTGGTGAATTTCTACCATCTTGTCTAGTGTAACTCTGTATTATCTCTAATGTTTTATTTAATAATTTTTTCAATTCTTTTTAATGGTCTGAACAATCTTCCATTCTTACATCTGATAATCTGAGCAATGTAGGTGAAGATAACAACATGTAATACAACAACTACTGTTAATTCCTATCATTTTGTTTTGAAACTCTGTATCACTTTTAATGTTCTTGCTTTGTTTTGTTTATGTCTGTGATGTTGGTATGTTGCTATTGTTTTTTTTTTTACTACTCTCTTTAAAATAAAAAAATACAAATACCCCACTGAATTATATTTCTATACTTATTATATTATGAGTAATGTTAATTATTATATTCTTAATTTAAATTTTATATAATTCAATTTTTTTATTTACCTATTTTTGTGTTACTGGGGACTGAACCCAAAGCCTCACACAAATAAGGCAAGTACTCCACCACTGAGCTATATCCCCAGACCTTTTTAAAAAGTTTCACTCTGAGGTAGGCACTCATTAAGCTGTCCAGGCTGGCCTCAAGTTTGTGATCCTCCTGCCTCAGTTTCCTGAGTAGCTTGATAATTTTATTAAATATATTTATTTTATTATATGTGATAGAAAAAAGAACCTAATCACAAATGTATTTCCTTTTATTATTATCATTTTTTTTTGGCTTTTTGAGACAGGGTCTCGCTATGCAGTTCAGGCTGGCCTTGAGCTCACTTTGTAGCCCAGGCTGGTCTTGAACTCCCAACGATACTCCTGCCTCACCCTCCCAAGTGCTGGGATTATAGGCATGTGCCACCACACCCAGATTCAAATGTATTTCCTAGAACACAGGGTTGAGTGAAAATTAGATATTTTCTTACTCAACTCTATTGAACCTCGAAAACAGCCTTCACATACAGCTGCAGACCTCTTGCTGGAACAAACTCAGGGCCTAGAGACTCAATATTCCCCAATGCAATGCATCCACTCTTAGACCACGCTAATAGCAGAGAGTTTCTCCTTACATAAATTATTTCTGTTGGCTCTTTTCAAAATAATAAATAATAATTTCTAAAGTGCTCTGTTAACCTATAAGTAAATGGAATTCAAACATAAAAGGCGATGATTTTAAGAAAATACACAATTAAATGTATCTAGAATGTTACAGAAAATGTAACATTTGAGAATATGTATGTTATATATATGTATATTTTGGTACCGGGAATTGAACTCATGACCTTGCACTTGCCAGGCAGGCGCTGTGCTGCTATATCCCCAGCCCTGAATATATATTGTACATAGTATTTCCAATCATAATATTCTAGCCATGAAGGCAAGGGCTGGACCATGGTGTCTCTAGGATTCTCTGATTTGGAGGAAAAGAAACCATTAAATAATTACTCAAATGTGAAGGAAGTATTTTTTCAATAAAAATGCTTTTATATATCGTATTTAAAGGATACCCAGTAAATTTGGTCTTGCTCTGGGAGATAACGATAACAATAACTACAATAACCAGCATTTATTAATACTTGTTTCAGGCCCTGTGCTAAGCATTGCACGTGTACTCCCTGTCAACGCTCGCCAGAATCCTAGGGAGAAAGTACTGCTTTTATCTATTTGAGCCATGAGGACAGATGACTTCAGTGACCCGTCTAAAATCACCGGTGATCACGTTTGAAGGCAGGCAGGATTACATCAGAGTCCACTTTTTAACCTCTACAACAAACTGACTTTTTTAGAGTCAACAAAGAACATGAACCCAAGTCCCTGCACATGCCAGGCAGGCACACTGCCACTCAGCCATGGCCCAGCCCCACACGAAGTCATGACCGGAAGTTCAAAGTGAATAAACACGTAGTCACTTTATCTCTCTAAACATGATTGGGCTTTATGGCTATAAAAATTTTAGAACTTTGCTCTCACGAAAAGGGAGGTCACGTACCAGCCTGTGTCCATACACATTCCTATCCAGCACTCCGCAGGAAGAGCTCTTTGGCAGTGGAAAGAGAAAGGACGGACGAAGTATATCACTAAAAGCATCAGGTTGCTAAGTTTTCCAGATCTGTTACTTCTAAGCCCAAAGGAGAGAAAATGTACAAACCATCAATGATGCTCCATAATAATGTGCAACAAATCGAAGTGTCTTGCATATTACTTTTCTCTTCTCAGAGTCAAAATCCTGTAGAAGTGTCATAGGAAAAAAATATGGGAAGAAAACTAAATATCTATAGCAGTAAGAAGCAAATTACATGTAGAAACAGATTCTCTGGTATTATTTAAAACCCACCCTGAGGAGGGGGATTCCATCGCCTTGCTGTTGGTTTCTACAGAGACTGAACAAGGGCTTCAGTCTTACAGCTACAGCTATCAGATCGTCTCTTTGTTTAAACACTTAGCTCAATAGAATTCAGATAGACGCACACATTGTACAGTGTGGAATACCCTAAGGATTCTCTGACAAGCGAAGATAAGAAGAAACTAATTTTCTACTTTCTTCAATTTAAAAGTTGAGAAGAAAGTTCTCTCCCTTGGTGCTTAAAGATTCATTTTTTAAACCTTCTGCTTTAATCCCACTCTGACCACTATATTTATTTTCTTAACCAATTTTCTCTGTCCCAACTATATCTTTGTTTCCAAAACCTTTAAGATGTGTGACTTCCTAACCCGTCCCTTCCAGAGTGATTGTTATTTCCTCATTATTTTCATGCCTCCCTACAGAGCAGAGCCATGCACATCCAACAAATTCAGCTAAAAGTGGAAGAGCTTACCTGAAAAATATCATATTTACTTCCAATTATGACCAGAGGTACTGGAAATGGGTCAATTAACTCACGATCCTGTTAAGAAATGTATTTCAGTGATTTATTATAATTGTTTATTGCTATGTGGCTCAGTAATTTCTGTTTACTGCCAAGAATATACCATTTTAAGTCTCCGTTGGCTTGTCATAAAATTTGATCCAATATTAACTTTCCTTTGCCAAGTTATATTTCTTAAGTATAAAACTAGAAGTGGCAATTCCTTAAATTACTGAAATTTATTCTTTTCCTTGGTCTGTTCTTCTGTTTTCTTATACAACATATCACCTTCCTAATTTTTTTTCTATATTAACTTTGTCGCAATTGCATGGGTAATATAAATGCTGCTCTTCGCCTTCTAGATGATGATATTCACAACTGTATTTAAAGAACTTGTGCTACCATCACAGCTACTTTATAATTAGTTGTCAGATGATTGAGAGATGCAGAATATGTGACAGATACCAAATGAACGTAAAATACAGAGCGACAGAGAAGGCCGTTAACCTGTACTCCTTGCTTACATTTGTACCTTCATCTAGCCTTTGCCAGATGACTTTTGTACAGGCTGGCTTTTTATCTTCATTTTACAGAGATTATAAAATCAATATCAAACTATGACTTTAAAACTCTATTTCTTTTGATTGGGGTAATATGCCATAACAATCACAGTAGACGTCTAACAAGAAGACATAAGAAGTCTCTTCCCTTGTTTTGCTCTTACTGAAGTTTTATTAAATTGCTATAATTTTCCAGTGAACAGTTCATCTACATCAAGTAAATTTCAAGTCATGCATAAAAATCTAAAGAAGTTGTTTGTGATGTTATCTTAACTATGCGTGGGGCTGAAGATTCCAAGAATAGGACAACAGTAACTCACGGGATGTTCCTTCTGCATGTTACTCCATATCTTCTGTCTCATTTCAGAAGCTGATTTAGAATTTGTCCTTCCCAGTTTCATGATCACTTTATCTACATGGCTTCTTGTGGCTTGCAACAGATTTTCCATGGTTGGCCAAAGGTCATTAGGTTTTGAAAGATCCAGAACAAGAACAATAGAAAATGTCCTAAAGAAATAAACCCCCCACAAAGCCTTAAAATAAGAGCATTTTGAAACACGGGTGTACTGAAATTTATCCAGGAAGAACATTATAGTTTATGAGAATTTAAAAAACCCAGAATTATTCTAAGATTTAAAAAAGACCAAAATTACAGCCTTATGTATTCCAATACTTTTCTCTAGTGATATTTTAGCATTACAATCAATAGCAGAACCGAAATTTCTGCTTGAACTAAAAATAATCCAGTTTAAATAAACAAGCTGCAAGCATTTGGGTCCAACAGTGCTATATTTACATACAATTTTATCATGTGCTCCAAAGAAGGGAAGCAAAAATATTAATAAGAGTGGTAGCAGTAACGCAACACAATCAAATGAGCAAGGGAATAGATTTACTGACAGGCCCGGGTAGGAAACTATTCAACTTACTTAATTTTTATAACAGTCCATTCTAGAAGATGTTATGACATCTATTCTATGGAACTGAAGACCGGTCACAGTCTTATATAACTACTATGCTCTAAAACTAATGCTCAGATCCAAAGCGACATGTCTCCTTTCTGTACCACTCTCCCTCCCTGGAGGCACACCTGTGACCACCAGACAGACCTGCCATGTCCATCACCACACGCATTTGCACACTGCTCATGCGCATCCAACATACACATGCACTCAGCCAAAAAATCACCCCCAAACAAAAAACAAAACCTTAAAAATGGTCACAGGACTCAAACAGCTCTTTCTCCAAAGCAGATATACAGATAGCTTTGTGTACATGAAAAGGTGTTTAACACCCTAATTACTATGGAAATGGAATCCAAAACAGCAAGGAAAGCACCCCCATTGGAAAGGCTATTGTTAGAAGGAATAAAAAAGCTAGGAAATAACATGAACTGCTGAGGACACTGAATGTCTTGTACATTTCTGGCAGGAATACAAAACGGTATGAATGCTGTGGAAAACAGCATGGAGGCTCCTCAAGAAATTAAACGTAGAATTACCATGGGATTCAGCAATTCTACTTCTGGGTCCATACCGCAGAACGAGAAGCTCAGACTTGAACAGATTTGTGTACACAATGTGCTCAGCAACACTACTGATAACAGTCAAAAGGCAGAAACCACCCAGCTGTCCATGGAATGATTAATGGGCAAACACAATGCAGTTATGTGTATATGGTGGGACATTAGCCTTAAACAGGAAGGAATTTTGAACATGCTACAACCTGGATGTACCTTGAAGACATCATACTAGTATGACAAAAGGGCAGATGCTATATGGCCTCACGTATGAGACCCTTGAGTGGTCAAATTCACAGAGCGTGAATGACGGCCACAGGAATCGGAGGAGCAGGATAGGGAGCTACTGTTTAATAGAGAGCTTCAGTTTGGGAAGATGAAAAAGTTCTGTAGACAGATGGCAGTGATGGCAAGGCAGTGTGAATATACTTAAGACCACTGAGTTGTACATTTAAAAACGACACTAATAAATTTTATGTCATATATATTTTTCCACAATAAAAACCAAACATACCTAAATCTACGAGTATTTCAGAAAATGGTCTTAATAAGTGTGTAGACGCATAATCATAGGTCAACATGCTCTTCATCAACAGGGCAAACACTCTGCTAATAGACATAGCAAAAAATTACATGTTGTTTAGTTATTTTGCTTAGGTCAAGCAAACCTGCCATTTTATGTAATTTATGCAAAACAGTAACTAATTTCTGTACTGTTGGTCTAAATTTAGAAAGTAATCTCTTAAGACATTAATTAGTTATCAATTTTTTCAATAAAACTACTGTATTATTACACATCTAACCAATCATTTCTATGTCATTTCAATAAGCTTAGAAACAGTTTAACTATAAAACAGTAAAATAGATTTTTTTTTTGAGACAAGGTCTCACTATGTAGCCCAGGCTGGCCTTGAACTCACGGTGATCCCCTGCCTCAGCCTCCCGAATGCTCTACCACATCGGGCTACAATAGATATATTTTCAGTAGTAAAGAAACTAATTTTATTTTCAGACTTTTAATATAGTTATATTTGAAAAAATACTATGTTTTAATTTATTGTGGTAAAAAGTATATGACATAAACATTCATTTTTTTAAATGAAAAATAACTTTGTTTTAAGCAAAAGAAAAATGGATTACTCAATTATTTTCTAAGATTAAAATTTTTGTTTCCCAGTACTTTGGAAATACTTGTTACTTTTTACTTATTTCATAGCAAATGACAACTAAAAAAATTTTTTTAAAGAGAAACTCCCTTTCTCTCTTTTTTATTTTTTCCCCAGTACTGGTGTTTGAATGCAAGGCCTTTGTAGTGAGCAACATCCCCAGTTCTTTTCTTTTTTTATTTTGAGACAGAGTCTCACTAAGTTGCTAAATTTCCCAGGCTGCGCTTGAATTTGTGATCCTTCTGCCTTAGCTTTCCAGAGTGCTGAGATTAGAGGCATGTGCCACCACACCAGATTAAAAACAAAACAAAAAAATCTTACAACAGGAAATCACACCACAGGAAATGTTCTATTACAAATTATCCAAAGTCTGTGGAAATGTTCAAGGCATTTATAATTTTATGAACAGCTATTTCAAAGACACAAAGCCTCTAATACCATTTAGCAACATATTATTTCCTCAAGTTACTGGGCTTTGTCTAACACAAGAAGATTACATGTCAAACCAATTCCAGCCCCCAAAACGCTCTGAAACCAGCAGCTGCTTTGAGAATACATGTTTTCCGCAAATTCTCTGACCACTCCATCCACTTCGGGCCAGGCCTCCAGCTGCCTTTTCCTGTGTCACCCTCAGCCTGACTCCTCTGGCCTTGAGCTGGCTCCAGCTGCCTACAGTTCCAGGGAAAGGAGGGCTGAGACTTGACAAAGCAGGAAAGAAGCTGTGGAAAGGTGGGGCTTCCTGCAGAACGCAGAATTCCCACAAACCTATCAGGCCCAGACGGTTCTGGGTCTGGAGAAGGGGACGGAAGTCACAAGGCAAGTCAGGGCCAGTAGTGGTGCTAACTCACGACCCAGTTGGGAGTAGGTTCTGTGTCTTCATCTTTTCAGCCTCTGGCTACCACAGTGGCTGCTGGGGCCCCTTCAGCTCCTCCCCACCCTCCCCAGCTCTCCTCAGCCACACCACCCGGAGCCACCCTCATTAGGGTTAGGGTTAGGGACAAACAAGAAACTATGGTGTGTTAAAGTCCATGTTCGGAAAACTAATGTCATAGGGAGATGGTAGTTGTAAGTAAAACAGCAAGATATAAATGTGTTTATAAAACACATAAGTTTGTATAAAGTTGATTTACACACATGGAAAGAAACGGAAAGACACAGCCCAACACGTTCACAGTGGTTATTTTTATGTGATTCTGAGTGCTCTTACTTTCTTCATATTTTTCAGTAATTCTCCAAGTTTTCTTTATGAGCATACTTTAGTTTCTAATAAAATAAAATACAATAAATTATATTTTACTAGAAGAAAAATCTCTGGACAAATAAAGCGAGTATTACCGGCATCCAGCTAGCTCTGTCCTCCTAACAAGAAATAATTCCACACGCTAAGGCTCTTCCAGCCTGAAATGTAACAAATACTTGCCAAACCTCTGGTCTCTGGTCCAGGCAGCAGCAATGGTTTGTGTTAATCCCTGACAAGAATAAGATCCTTCAGAGTTTAAAATTCTTGTTTTTCTTGGCTAAGATGAATTCCCCGGAACACTGTGAGAAATGTCACAATTTTCCACATCTGATTTGGCCATGTGGGAGTCACTGTCAGAAACACACCCCAAAGGGTTTGAGATTTTTCCCTAGGTCCCAGTTCTTTAAGGTCAGCAAACAGAGAGACTTTCTTATAGTCTTCCTCTTGGTGAAACTTAATGATGCTAATTCACATTAAGTTGAAAGGTGGACTTGCACCATCCCGCTGAAGAAAAAACTCGGAGCTGAACGAACTCCCACTGAGATGGACAGTGCTAAGAATTAACTTTCCAAATTTATTTTTGCAAATGAATTCACCACCCAAGTATTTCTAGACGTTTGTTTTTGTTAGTGGGCTTGCAGAGTGCGTTACTAGTGGGAACGCCAGCCTTGGTGTTTTCAAACCCGCTTTGGGAGCATTACAGTTTGAGTACGTAGAAAGGAAGTGGGCATGAACCTTCGGAAACATCAAACTGTAGCCTCAAGTTATGACTCACGAAAGCCTACACACACTCACGCTATGCACGCTCCTATGTACTTACAGCTTAGCTGACCTGGGCTCACTTACCGCAAAGTGTCACTTGTGATGGGTATGCTGATTAAGTCCAATAAAGAGGTTCCTCCACCCAGTTCCCAAAAATGAGCGATATCTTTCGGCTGAAAAAAAGGTTTCCTTTTAATATTTTCATTTTTATTTGCTAATTTTAAGTGCTTCTTACGCCTCACTGCTAATGAGGTAATTACTACTGGTGAGTGCCAGTAATAATTCTAGGTACAAACTATTGCAATCCTCAATCAACCCTTTCGTGACAGTGAAACATCCTTCTTTCTCGACCCCACCCCTCAAAACGTACCAAAGGTCCTGTCCCACAGAATGAAGATGCAAACATTAAGATACACCGTCTGCACATGCACACAAAGGCCGGTTCTAGTAATACCTTAGCAGAAGACATACAGTGCTCCAACTGTTCAAATATCACATGTAAAATACACTTAAACAAATTTTAAATAAAATTAACCAGTTAAACACATTTGGTGTTCTAGATAGAGATTAAACGGCTGAGTAGGAGAACATCCTGGTTTAGGAAAACAAAAGTTCACAAGACAAATTAGATATAGAGATAAGGCCCAAGGAAAAGGGGCAAAGGGGGCAGTCTTGGCTGAGCAAATGTCGAAGCACATAAGCTATGCGTGATTCCCACGGCTGCAGGCAGGCTCCACGCCAGCACCAAGCGTAGGCGGGGGAGCACACTGAGCGCGCTGAGGCTGACCAACTGCTCGTCTTCTCAGGACTTAAACGAACGAAGATGGACAGGCCTGGACAGCCTGGTAACTGGGAAATACGACCTGCCGTTCCGTGAATGCCTTTCTAGGCTGCAAGCTAATGGCATCTCTGCTCTACCCTGATGGCGAGGCGCCTTTAGGCCACCACAATTCCATAAGGATCTCACAAGGTGCTTCCACTTAGAACTCAGGGAACACCGAACCTGAGAAAGACATGAAGCTTCCAGAATAAATTTTAAAAGCCCCATTTAATGGTATAAAGTTTAGAGGGAAAAAAACCCAGGAGAAAATGAATTATATGGATTTTTATATTATCTGCTACCATAACCCTGGCAGACAAATGAGCATTAAAAGAAGTCTATGCATTTATATTGTTAGTAAATAATAACACTACAGCATAGTAGGTTTCCTTGTAGACATTCCCACGACATGCATATACTCTGATCAGATCCACTTGCCTACTACCTCCCCTTGCCTTCCTTGTCTCCCTCCCGAAGCTCCTCCTCTCCCTTCTGCTTTCACGCTGTCTTTTCTTTTGTTGTTGCTGTTGTTGTTTTTTGTTTTACTTTAGACTCCACATATGAGGGAAAACATAGGGATACTTGTCTTTCAGTCTGGCTTCTTTCATAAAGCAAGTTTTATTTTTTCCATTTTACAGTTGATGCA